TTCCAACAGACCAAATAGCTGTAGCCTATTTCCCACTCAGGTTATACTGATCCATAACTAAGCCAACCCTAATTTTAGGGTGGATTTTTTGTTCAAATTTGTCTCAACTTAAAACATTATGTATGGCAGGTCATGCTTCAGACATGGCTTTCGGGATAAATTATTCTGTTTCTTATTTGGCTTTTTTGTCATGGTAAATACTTTTCACCGGTCTTTGACAAGGTATATTGTTTTCAGTTTGCAATCTTGCGTGTCATTGTTCAAAGTCTGTCAATGTAACGAAAACTTGCACGGCAAAGGGAAACCCCTACTAAACTAAAACAGGAAACATAACTGCTGAAGATAGCTAGAAATAGAATAGGCATCCTTGTGCTACAAATAGCTATTAATGCTTCATTCTTTAGAAGTAAGCTATTTATTTTGTTTCTGTTCATTTTTTTTTAAAAAAAGAAAGCAAGTTCCATTCAATGTTGTTTTTAAGGCCCGTATTGTCAGTGTTTCTCTGTTTTACTTTGTTATTAAAAATAACTTTAGTGTTGCAGCTCCCTGTTGTATTTCCCTCATTCAATCATTTGCAGGAGTAACCCTCACCCAATTTAAGAGCCCATTTACACGCAGTTCTAAATCATGTTAAGGTGTTAGGAGTTTAAGCTATAGCAACCCCTCACTATACACACACTAATCACTTTACTCTGTGAAGATATCAGAAGATTACACTTCTTTATTATTCATAGTAGTAGGAACTCATGTCATATGAAGTTGAACCCAAAATTATGGTCAGTAGAAACCAGAACTCAGAACTCTACTGATAACGAGTGTTAAGCAATGCGTTAGTTTTTGCAGTAATGAGAAAGCAGTGATGTCAACCGCCATCTCTGTTTATATCCCTAACACCAAAGTGTTAAATTTGGGTACAGTGAATACTTTAACTAGGGCTTTGGGAGAATAATTGGTGTTACTTCCCAAATGTTTTTAAAACTCATCTTGGAGGCATGTTTGACAACAAAATAGTAAAACATTTCGGGGAGGAAGAGACCAAAAAACAACTAACAATGGATGAGTGAATAGGTTAGTAGGTAAAGGTTTTCCCCTGACATTAAGTCCAGTCATGTCCGACTCTCGGGGTTGGTACTCATCTCCATTTCTAAACTGAGGAGCTGGCGTTGTCTGTAGACACCTCCAAGGTCATGTGGCCAGCATGACTGCATGGAGCACCGTTACATTCCCACTGGAGGGGTACATATTGATCTCACATTTGTGTGTTTTCGAACTGCTAGGTTGGCAGAAGCTGTGGCTAATAGGGGGAGCTCACCCCGCTCCCTGGATTTGAACCACTGTCCTTTCGGTCAGCAAGTTCAGGAGCTCAGTGGTTTGAACCATTGCACCACCAGGAGCTCCGAATGAATGAATAGCACATGGTTAATGTGTTTTTCACTCACCTCAACACTAACATTAATATGATATAAAAACATAAATAATGACTAAAATAATGTGTTTCCTATTTTATATCTTCATTCTAAGCTTTGATAGGAAGAAAGTTCAAGTTTGTAGAGTGTCATCTGAAGTTGGATTAAGAATAACTTTACTAGAATAATGCAACAAATCCTGACGCTTTTAAGTATTCTCAATACTGTAATATAGAGAAAAGAGGGAGAGTGTTTGCCCCAAGGCTTGCCTAGGCTCATTATTATAATAATGATGGTTTAGCTTTATAGCAGAACAAGCCCTTGCATGTGCTCCTAAAAACCATAACAGGACATTAAAAACTCATAATATGATTTTATTGCTTGATCTCCAGACCTCAAAGCTGGAGTGAAGGTTGTAAAAAAAGAAAAGAGGAAGAAGGGAAAGAGGAGGAAACAGTAATAGTTGCTGTGGTTGGAAGTAAACCGATTGTTAATGACCTTTTTTTTTGGGGGGGGGGAGGTAAAACCCCAGTATTGAATGTTCCATATGTATATATTTGATGTAATAAGGGCTCTTGGGTAACTTTAAAAGCATTGCATATTTTTCAGATTGATTTCAGGGGCTCATATACCGAGAGTATTCTAGAAAATGGTTTCAATAATAAATGAGGAGCAAACACTATATAGCTTTGCCATGGCAATGTGTTCCATTACTGCAAAGAATCAATGTAGATACATGCCCATGGTGCTCATTAAGAATAGGAATAATTGAGGGTGTTACGCAATGAGATCGTATGAGCTGTCCGTGTTTCCTTAATATTTTCTGTAGGGAAGGGAGGAGTGAGAGGGACAGGGACAGGATGCTGCTTGATAGAGTAATTAAAACTGCAGTCCTTCCTCTTCCCATTTTTGAAGTAGAAAATATACATATACAAGCTCACAAGCTATTACGTCTGTTGTCTTGGAACCCATTTTCTTCATTTACTTACGGAGAAGAAAGAGAAGCAACACACTTGTATGATTTTTTTTAATTGAGGAAAAGGAAATAACTCCGTAGAAACTGCGTCATTTGATAGCTTAAAGAAGGGAGATTGTGTCTTTTGCAACGGCTTGTGCAAGAAAGTTTTTATGATTGGGTTACCAGGTCAGAAGTACTTGGCAGTAGCCCAACCTTATCTTTAATGGTAGAATTATGCTGTCTAAAATTGGAACACTGGGTTTCTTTCTTTCTCTTCAACAATATATCTTTTTAAAAGAGTGTTAATTGTGTCTGGCTGATGTAGTGTGCAGGCATATGATGCCTTTCTGAGGTTCAGAGTTGCATATCTTAATGATGTGTACTCTGAATTTCATTTCAAGTATCTGTGCTAGATAATTGATCCTTTAGGAGCCCCTGATGATGCAGTGGGTTATACCACTGAACCTGCTGACTGAAAGGTCGGCGGTTCAAATCTGGGGAGCAGGGGTGAGTTCCCGCTGTTAGCCCCAGCTTCTGCCAAACATGCAAATGTGGGTAGATCAAAAGGTACCGCTTCAGCAGGAAGGTAATGGCACTCCATGCAGTCATGCCAGCCACATGAACTTGGAGATGTCTATGGACAAAACTGGCTTTTTGACTTAGAAATGGAGATGAGCACCACCCCTCAGAGCTGGACATGACTGGACTTAATGTCAAGGCGAAACCTTTACCTTTTAATCTGTGCTAGATCAATCATATCCTTTAAAAGGAAACTAAACTCCTTGGGTGATATTTGGCTAGTCACTTTCTCTTTCAGATCCTCCTTCTCACAGGGAATTTCAAAAATAAAAATGTATATGGTGGAACCATTCATGCTACCATGAGTTGCTTGGAGAAAAGAAAGGATGTAACAAATAATTTTTCTTTCTTTCAAATATACATTTACTAATACTCATAAAGTCATCACTTCATATTTGTGAATTTCCTATGGTCGGATTGTCAGATTCATTTTCACCAAAGGCTACATCAACCTCATGGTTGCCTTCAAAAAGGTGTTTGTAATTATAAGACTATATAAATGTAGCAATGCTGCCCTGGCATTGAAAGCCTTGCGGGCCACGTAAAATGACGTGACGGGCTGAATTCAGGACACAAGTCTTGCATTTGACACTTGTGGACTATGGTGTACCCACACATGATATCTGTGGGTGGCAATCTCATTTTAGAAAGTTCTAGTTATGATTGTTGTCTATACAGTGGGCGCTCCATATCCATGGTGAAATGGTTCCAGGAACACATACCCACCATGGATATCCAAGAACACAAGAATTCAAGTCCTTGTTTAAAATGGGTTAGAGCAGCATGGAGCCTACTAGTCACCTGCTTCCACCTTTGAGCAGCTTTGGCAAGCAACCAGCCAGGAGCGATGCTACTGACCATATAACTGTAGAAGATGTTTAGTATTCTGCAATTGGAAGTGGTTTGTTTGATCACTGATTATAGCTTCTTTGGTGATACAGCATGTAGCAGCAGCATTGCTTTGTGGTAGGATGCATCTGTGGATCATGAACCCATGGGTATAGTAGGTTCAGAAGATCATTTATATGGACATGTGTTTCTGGGTGTTTGGAGTGCATTGCATATATTCTCACAGCAGCCTTGGTAATCTTCCCTTTTACATTGAGCAGTGATTTTATGAGCATGAATTACACAGAATTTTTTAAAGTTTCAGTTGTTTTATAAACATTAACAACATTAAATGTCAAAAAGAATAAGCTGAATAATAACCCTGCAAGATGACCAGACTCAGTGTAAGGCATCTTCCATCTTCTTTTTGCTTAGAAGCTGAGAATGAAAGACCTGTATTTGTAGGGGTGGGAATCTGTAGGCCTAGAGCAGAAGTAGGCAACTGCTGGAGGCTTGGGGATTGCAGAAGTCTCCCAGGAGAGTTTTAAACACCCCTCTTCTGAAAACAAACAACAACTAGTTTTGATCCTCAAATTATCTCAAATGGCCTCTATGTGATATGGGAGCATATTTGTCAAATCCTATTAAAAATGCATTTTAAAAGGGATTTGTTTAAAATGCTTTTCCTGGCCTGGCAGAGAGGCAAATAATGTAGGAAATACCACTATATCTCTACAAATTGATTATGAGGTTACAAATAGGGCTTGTTGCAGCCCCGGGACCACAAAAACAGGCCTGAAGGCTGCATGGAGTCTGTGGACCATCCTTTGCCCACTGTGGCCTCCAGCAGATCACTGTGATTAGTATTTTCCTTAGTCACCCCTCCTACTTCCCTGAAGCCATGGTTACTGGGAAATATGATAGGAAGGAATAAAGAGATAAGATGTGGATATCTAACCTTAAAAGTGCCAGAACCTATCAGATCTTGGAAGCTAAGAAAGCTCGAATTATTTGGAAAAATGGGCACTCAACTGCACCATATCATTTGTTGGGGAAAGTTGTACATCTGAGATATAGATATGCTTCAGCTCTGTATTTGTTTGCTGCATGTGGACAATTAAATGAGGATGAAAGATGTTTCTTTTTAAATTTTCCTAATTAAATGTATGCTGCACCTGTAGATTTTCAGAATTCAACATACAGTGAAACCATTTTCTAACTATGTTCAGGTCCCAGTTGCACATTGCTTAGGACCTCCAGGACATTATAAGAGAAAATTCTGTGCTGTGTGTAGGAAGCCATTGGAATCTCTGGCATATCGCTGTGAAGGTAAGGCAGAGTGATAATTGGTTGTATTCCTATCCATATAACTTAATTCTGATTTTAACTGGTTGTCACACTGATGCTGGTGTGATTTTGGAGGACAGTTCTAGTATCATGTGAAGATATTTTATTGACAGAAGAAGGTGTGCTGTGAGATAAAAGGAAGTCTCTTCGGGAAATTATATGTCTTATCATTCCCCCAACATTATCAGTGTTTCTTGATCAAGTGGTTGTTATTTGTGGGTTTCTGTGATTTCAGAGGTTACTTTCAAGATAAAATTCTAATGCAGTTTCACATAGATATGACTTATTCTGAGCCTTGCCATTATTATAAAACATCTAAAGTGCTTGGCTGATATTGGCTTCCCAAAATCTTTCCCAGAAGTGTTTCTCTGAGAATCTCGAACTTGTATCTTCTGTTGCAAGGCATGTTCTCTGCAACTATGGACGAAATTAAGCTTGGATGCCACACATGCAATTAGGAACTGGTGACTTTTAAAGAACTGTAAATAGAGACAGGGGCATTCGATCTGGTTAAGAAAACTGTCAAGGAAGGAGGTCTCTATTGTGTCTAATACAATGGTTCTCAACCTGTGGGTCCCCAAGATGTTTTGGCCTTCAACTCCCAGAAATCCTAACAGCTGGTAAACTGGCTGGGGTTTCTGGGAGTTGTAGGTCAAAACACCTGGGGACCCACAGGTTGACAACCACTGGTCTAATACTGTTCAAAAACAATGTATTTGTTCATTAGTTGTGTGAATGGTATCAAATCTTGTTTGGCTGTAATTTGCGTTCCTCCAGATCTACACCTGAATCTAGGTTTTGAATGCTATAATATATATGTATAACGATCATCCTTTCACATCTGTTGGGTTTGAGGAACAGTGCTTCACTGAAAGTAAAGAACTACAAATAAAGTAATATTATTTTTACCTCTCTAGAAATCTCTTAAGTCTTCCAGCACAACCATTATGGCCAACTTCTGCTTAGCTGAACACAGAATTATATTGAAGGACCAAGAGATTCTTAAATAGGTGTTCTCTTTCAAAATGACAAGGTCCTCTAACTCAGGACTTCTTAATCGTTTCTAACTTTATGCCCAAGAATTTTTTATGTGGCTTTAGTTATATAAGAATATAAAATAGATATAAAAATCAAACATTTACTGAAAATAATCCAGTATTTGCAAGGCCTGCTAAAAAGACTGATTTTTCTCTTTATGAAGTACATCTGAAGCACTTTCTTCAGGGTCCACCATAAACACTGCATGTTGTTGCTAACCAATTTGTGTAATTGGGTGGCATTCAGAAATCATTTACTGTTGCCATTTTTCATGAGCCCAATATTGATCTAAAGTATTTGGGATGGGACCCACAATTTAAGAAAGAGTGCTCTAATATGACTGGAGCAATTTGACCATAGAGTCACACTGGAGAAGCTGGAAAATTATAGAGTGAACATTTTAAATCAAATACATGATTAATCATATCTGCAAAAGTTAAAACCACAAATGTGGAGGATGACTGTACTATATATATATATATATATAGAGAGAGAGAGAGAGAGAGAGAGAGAGCAAGACCTTCTCAGAGTAAAGCATGAAATAAGATAAATAGAGGTAAAGCCCTATGCAAAACAAGTGAAGTGAATCCTTTTTATTTTACTTCCAGTGTGTGAGCTCCATGTACATACAGATTGTGCTCCATTTGCTTGCAGTGACTGCCGTCAGTGCCACCAAGATCATCAGGATCATGTGAGTACAATGCATTTTGGTTAAAGGATGTGGGGTGAATTCATTAAGATGCATTAGAATGTTTCCTTCTGAAGCTGAGATGTTAAAGTGGGTTCCTAACTCCTCAGTCATCTGTGGGTTGGATTTCATTGGTGCTCATAGACTGAAGAGGGAGCTGCCATGATTCCAGCTGGAGCTTTGATTGGGTTTGGTCTTTTACCCTATCCCCATGTAAGGAAAGGTTCAAGCACTCTTTACTGTACTTCCAGGAGGTTTGCTGGATTTCCATAGTGGGAGGTGATGTCTTTGATTTCACTCTGCCTTTTTCCTCTTGGGGAAAAGGAGCTCAGCCAAGTACTGGGTTTGAAAACACCATCTGTGAAAGCACAGGTTGAGCTCATTATTCCGCATCTCACTTGCCTATTCAGTAGTGGATAGAAATTTTGCAACTGGAGATGATAAGGCAGAACTTGTGGGAGAATCCTCCACCCAAACCATTCTGGGATGGCTTAGGGACATCCCTGGGCTTCTCCTGTGTTCTAAGTCTTAGCACATTCAAAGCTATTAACATTTTTTAATTTTTTACACACACAGGATATATATTTATATTCACCAATATGTGATGTTCAACCTGGGAGTGCATTTTTGAAGGAATTGATTTATTTATGCTGCTTGACAGGATACGTACCATCATCACTGGAGAGAGGGAAATCTTCCTTCAGGTGCACGTTGCAAAGTCTGCAAGAAAACATGTGGCTCTTCGGAGATGCTGTCGGGTATGAGATGTGAATGGTGTGGTGTCCTGGTATGTACAAATGTTGTAATTTCCAAACTTTACACTCTTAGTTTAAGGTCCTTATCAAGATCCTCAAGATGATGTATAAAAAAGATAGCTGTAGATCCTTAGGTACACAACAAAATATTGAAATACATTTGTAGCATGGCGTTTAGGAATATATTTAGCTGTTTAACAAAATAAGATGACTTAACTGGATGGAGGTGGCTAGGAGTTGACCCTGTGCATGAAAGGGTTATGTTTTGTTATTTAGCTCTGTTTATTTACCTAAAATAAACAATAGATAAAATGTTTCCTTTTGGTTATATTTATATGTACTTTTTTGAAAATTGGAAGGAAAACCAGTTTGCAGCTTCTAAAAAGTGGTTAACTGGAATGTCTCAAGTACGGTATAGGTAGTAGACTAGTTGTTTAGTCCAGCTAGTGCACTTAACTCCTGGAGTCCCCGGTGGCGCAGTGGGTTAAACCCCTGTGCCGGCAGGACTGAAGACCGACAGGTCGCAGGTTCGAATCCGGGGAGAGGCGGATGAGCTCCCTCTATCAGCTCCAGCTCCTCATGTGGGGACATGAGAGAAGCCTCCCACAAGGATGATAAAAACATTTAAAAAATCATCCAGGCGTTCCCTGGGAAATGTCCTTGCAGACGGCCAATTCTCTCACACCAGGAGTCACTCCTGACATGACAAAAAAACCCTTAACTCCTTTATACAGTTATCTTTCCACATTTGCTGGTGGCATGTGGATGTGCAGGCTTATGCAGGAAGCAGGACAGTGGAAGGGAAAGAGGAGAGAGCCAAGGGACTTGAGTGAGTGGGCTGGTGGCACTAGGAGAGCAAGGGAAGTGACTGTGGCAGCTGCTCTTACAGTGGTGGCTTTGGCAACTCTGGGCTTTATAGAGACTTATAAATCTCACCTCATGTTAAGCTCCGATGTGCTGAGATACTGCCCTTCCATCTGTCCAGCCCAGATACGTGTGCACCAACTACTTGCCCTTCTTCCCATCCCTTTCCTACCAGAGTGAATGAGGGAACACACATATAGCTGTACCCAGCCAGCACACTGGTTTGATTTCCTCCCAGAGACCAAAGGTTTATCTACCGATTAAACCTGATGTAACAGAAGACAGTTCAAGATGGGCACTGGTGTTATCATAGTTCCTATTAAAATGGTATAAGGCAGCAGTGAAGATTATGGCTAATCCTCTGTTGATTGTGAGGATTTTGTGTATGTTTATTATATACAGTGGGAGGGAAACTAGGGGTATTAATACTTCTACTTTCTCAGGAGTCCTGTGCCCCTTATTCTTGCGAAAGTGAAGGAATGACTATAACAGAAAATTTCTTATTTTATACATGAATTAGAAATTCTTTAGTTGTCTTTAAAAATAACTACTCCTCCATCTTGGAATTGCTTTTGCATTAATTATAATGTGACTCACTGATCACTGTGGGTTTTTTTTTTAACATTTTCTGTGCACTGAACTGTCAGGTTTGTGTGGGCTTCTCTGAGTTTCTACAGAAATTCTGAATTTGGGGGAATCTATGTGGTGCTATTTTGTAGAAATTAAGGGGTGCAAAATAATTATGAAATATTCATAAGTGTATATGTAATAAATTTGTTTCCTGAGGAGGAAATACTTCCTAATTTTCCTCACAGCTGTCTTTGCTACTGTTGGTATGGACTTTCACAAGCTATAAAACATGAACATAGATCAGATGTTGGAATAATGTAGCTTTCCAGATGTTGTAGGTCTACAACTATCAGCACTCCCTAAATAGACTGTTGGGACTGCTAGGACTTGCAGTCAAGAGACATCTTAGAAGCCTGCAAGATTACCATACCTGTTGTAGATGTATACAATTCTGAAATATATTGGGTGATTAGTTGCTGTCTTGAATTAACCTTTGTTAATTAGACGTGACTTTAGAAGAACTTGATTCTTTGTTTTCCATAGGCTCATGCTGCTTGCTATGGGATTGTACCTCCAGAATGTACATTTGGAAGACTAAGAAGCATGATTCTTCCTCCAAACTGCGTGCGCTTATTTTCTCGCAATTTCAGTAAAATGCACTGTTTTCGGATATCAGAAAGCTTACAAACAGAAACAGGTAAAATTCAAAATGTATGAACTTGTCTAATTAGCTGTTTAGTTGACTTTTCTTTTTATTGCTATTAAAGGGGTAAATGTGTTGTTGTCTAAAAGACAATAACTGCAAGAGTGCAGGATGTGGAACATAGACTCCAATGGTCTCATTCAGCTTCCACATACTTCTGACATTCAATTCTGGCAATGAGTGATTTTCTGACAACTGGGCTAACTCTGCAAAAGATTCTGTAGCCATAAAAAAAAGATCTGAGAAGCTCTGTCAGATTTGAATTGTCAAGACACTTTCTGCATTCTGAAAATGTGATTGCTGTAGGGAACAGGTACAGAAAGTTAATAGCATCATTTTAGATAAATGTTCAACATTTGCAAAAGGTAGATAATTTTTCCTTGAACGGGTTTACATCGTTAACTCATGACGATTGATCTCTTTTGCAGTAGAGAAGGAAAATTGCTTGCTTTTATATGCAACTGGGAACTTTGTAGCAATGGAACAGGAAAGATTGTAGTCCTTTAGTGTGTATTTTTCTCTATATTTACGTCATTGCACTTTGATTTCGATTAAGTACAAGCAAAAGTTCTAATCTTTGCACAGGAAAAATCTTTGGACTATTGACAAACATTCAGGTAAGATAAACAACTTTTTAATCAAACTGCATAATATAACACAGAAAGACTTCAGCCTTGGGCAAAAATCCCCTTTTTTCCCGTTCTATCGGCTGGACTGTTCTAAAAAGACAGTTGAATTGCAAGAAACATATTTTACTGCCACCTAGAGTACACCTACGTATATATGTACTTTCTCCATTCTAATTTTCAAGTGCATATATGTCTTGTACCTTCAATGTGAGGATATGCTTGTCTTCACATGTTAGCCACATGCAAGGATCACTCATTGGCTAATTATTTCTAAATGGAATCTCTCATTGTAAGAGGCAGCATTGAGAACAAAAGAAAAGAAGTGACCACCTTCATCGTCTCCTTCATGTAAACTTCTGTAGGGATCTGTTTGGTCATGACTGGAAGTAGAAGGATGGAGTAAAAGGATTATGCTCTTGATCATTGCTGCCTTAAACATTTAAGTCCTTTACAACAGATATAATCACAGTTTTATTAAGGCACTTTTAAAATGCAGATGTTCATTGGTCTTGGAGTTTACTGAGCTCTAAGGAGATATAAACTATGTAACAGTAGTAACCTGTGTAGTAACCTATGGATGTGAGTGCTGGACCATAAGGAAGGCCGAGTGAAAGAAGATGGATGCTTTTGAACTGTGGTGTTGGAGGAAAATTCTGAGAGTGCCTTGGACCACAAGAAGATCAAACCAGTCCATACTCTAGGAAATAATGCCCAGCTGCTCACTGGACGGAAGGATATTAGAAACAAAGATGAAGTACTTTGGCCACATAATGAGAAGACAGGAAAGCTTGGAGAAAATAATGATGCTAGGGAAAATGAAATGAAAAACCAAGAACAAGATGGATGGATGGTATCCTTGAAGTGACTGGCTTGACTTTGAAGGAGCTGGGGATGGCCGACAGGGAGTTCTGCCGTGGGCTGGTCCATGAGGCCACAAAGATTCGGAAGCAACTGAACAAATAAACAACAACAAGGGTGTGTGTCAGATTTTTTTGTTGAATGTGGTTGTCAGCACTTCTGAAGATGGTGACGCTTATGTGGTGCCAGGAGTTATTTAAAGCGAAAATTTAATCTCAGGTGTCCTTAAGATGATTGATGATTTTATATATAATGTGCAGGTGCTGTTTGCATCCTCTGTTCAGTAGTGTATTATAAAAGAGGCTGGTTGCTTTTTGCTTATGCCTATGTTGCAGTCTTACAGTTTTTAGATAGTGGGTTCCACTGCAATAAATAAGGCTTTGAAAAAAAATATTTAACATTGCACTGATAGTGTTGTTGGGTTTAGAGAAGATGGTTGAATAAGGACTTCTGGTTTATTTAACTTCTGCTTAAAGTTGGTGCTAAAATTTCTCTTGAATTCTATTATTATTATTATTATTACTACTACTAGTAGTAGTAGTAGTAGCAGCAGACGGGGCCATCTGTTGCTATGGCCCAGTCTGCATAAATGGAAAAGAAAGAAAAGAGAAAGACCTGGTATAAAGCAGACATTATAGATGGTCTGCCTTGATGTTTTGGGTTATAGGTTTCTAATATATATAATTTAACCATGCTTGTGGATATACAATATTATTAGTTATTCCATTGTCTGTGCAGATATAGAGATTGTCTGGTTTGCTGACTCTAGAACATGCAACATATAATTGTCCACGTGAGAAGCAATCTGTGTCTAGATCTAAACCGCACAATTCTAAAGATGTTTGTTGATGGTGATTGCAAACACCAAACGTATTGGGAATTGCAATCTCTGAAATTGAAATGGCATATCCATTGGAATCATAGGAATGCAAGGAATGAGGACATCTTCAACCCATAATATCAAGGCAAATAATCCACAATGTCTGCTTTGTATGGATTATATGTCATAGTAGACTTAGGGCCCTTCCTTATAGCCCTATAACCCAAAACATCAAGGCAGACCATCTATAATGTCTGCTTTATACCAGGTTATCTGAGTCCAGACTGCCATATAACCCAGTTCAATGTGGATCATATACAGCTGTGTAGAAGGGACCTAATGAAAGACACAGGGTGCCCAAAGGATCCCCAGTGTAGTAAATAATAAACATACAGCGGCATTCCTGAGGGCGGGAGTGGCATTGGAGGAGGGAAGGAGGGAGGAAGGCCCGCCCTCCTCAGATGAGACAATGATTGACAGTTTTTGATTGTGAGTTGCTTTGAGGCCCTTTCCACACAGCTGAATAAATTCACATTATCTGTTTTGTACTGGGTTATAGGCAGTGTGGACTCTTGAGTGTACTTACCCATTTCCCTAATAGTTCAAACTATGGATATGCTAAAATATGAGTTTTGGAAATTGCTGCTTTCAATACAATGCTTACATTAAACCATCAATTGTTTTGTGCCATAGACATTTAAAAAACACTTTATTTTTACAGATGATGATGACGATGTTGATAATTCGACACAATTGTCACAGAAGGAATCACAGACTTCAACAGACTCAAGTAAGGAGTGTTTTCTTGAAAGAAGGAAACTTTTCAATACAACTGTATTGCTATGGCCATTTTAAGCTTTTTTTAATCAGGCAAAGCAGACAATTTCAAAGAATTGAGAGGAAACATAGTAAGTTGAAAGATTTTGAGTGTTTTCTGTATCGCTTCTTACTTTTTGATACTTAGGACCACATATTTAGAACAATGCAAAATAAAAATGCAATCTTTGTCCATGTTGCACACAATAATGTGTTTTGATGTTTGTTTTTGTGTGTACATGTGGGGGGGGGATGCCCCTTTTGGCATAATCTCAGATAGCAGGAGATGTGATCCTGGGGGCTGCACAGACTAGGTAAAGGAAAGATGTTTGAAATCTGTCCCATGTTTTAGCTCACTCTAGGTTGCCCTTTCAGCCTACCTTCTGTGGTTGTATACTAGATTAGTCTGTGGAAGAACAACCATAATCTACAACCTGGTTGTGAATAAACAGGCTGATCTGGTATGTCTTGTAGAGGCCTGGATGAATGAGCTTAGTGGTGTCAGCTTGTCCTAGCTACTCAGTGCTGTGTTGGAGGGAAGCGGGGGGAGGGGGAAAGGAGATGGAGTTGCTGTCACCCATAAGGGTTATGTTCCTCTCACAAGAAAGCCTATCTGTTCCAAAACCAAGTTTGAAGGTTTGAACCCTGTGTTGAGCCATGGAGACGGAACAGGGATGCTGTTAGCATACTGTCCACCCTGCTACTGAGCAATCTCCATTTCTGAACTAGCAGAGGTGGTTTCGGAAATGGTGTTGAAGACTCCTGGGGTGCGGGAGCTTCAGCTTTCATGTTTATGTTGACCTTGTCAGGGCCTCATTCTACTATGACAATCATGTGCCTGACTCAATAATATAATTGTTTCTGCTACATGTGTTGATATGAGAGGACCCTTGATTTCTGCTACTGGACAGATACAGAATGATCCAGTTTTGGGATGGTGTACAAAGGAACCCATTGTCATGGTCAGAGCCCTTCCCTGTGAAGTTTGATTTGGCTGTAACTGGCCTTCTTTGCAAGGGTGAGGAACAGCTTAAAATAGTCCTCCCCAAGAAGCTTGTGAAATCTGAATGTTCTGTGTGATTTTCTAGCAAACAGGGTTGGTCTTTTTGTCAAAACCTTGCTCTCACTAATGAATGGTAAGATGAAAACAAGGGCTATTGATGCAGCCCGTTTACCTACAAATGTTTGCTCATTTTATAACAAAACAGCCTTTTAGCCATGCCTGGTGTGAATGTAATCTGAGAGTTTCAAAAGGAGAAGATAAGTAACAGAACTTTACACACAATTGAGTCTTAAAACTTGTTTAGACATCTAGTAACCTAATATTAAGGCTTCAATTAATGCATACAATTGAGTCTTAGAACTGGTTTAGAATCTCAGTAACCTAATATTAAGGCTTGAGCTAATGCTTCTATTGTTGGCTTGCCAGCAGCTCCAGTATTTTATATAAATGTGTATAATTTATATGCATTTTGTATAAACTCTTCTGGTCCATATGCTATTGGTTTTAGTTGTACAATCTGGCTTAGCCAATCTCAGTGAAAATGAGGGGTGTATCTTAAAACAATTTTGTGTATGATATAAAGTCTGTCTACATCGAACCAGCAGAAAGCGAAGGTGTTACCTTCTTACCCACCTATCTGGACAATTTTAGATTCTTTTGGATTTCAAAATTATACCTAAGTAATTTTGGTTCATTATTAGCAGAACAGTTCCAAAATAGTTGTCAGATTTTCAGCTAAAAAATGAGCCAACTAAAACCCTAAAATGCTCAGGGTATGAATACACTGCCATTGGCCAATGAACAGACTGTGTATTAATGTTCCTGTGAATACTCTGGTGAAAAGTAGACATTGAAGCAAAAGGGGAAACATTAATGAAATAAGAGGATATTCCAAGTACAAGTTAAAGTAGAAAGGTTGGCTAACAGTATGCTCAAACATTTTCTTTAAGCCACAGCTTGGGCAGCAGACTTTTCTACTGTCACCTTTCAAGCAAATAAACTGCCAGATAAAACTGGCATTCAATATATATATTCATAAGTTTTGTTGCCAATAATAGAGTTGTCACATTGGTCTCTAGTCCTATGCATCTAAAAAGTCACTAAACACTTTCAACACACCTATAACCATTGACAAAACCATGACAATCCTTAAAGCAGTCACAAATCTTAATCTGACCCTATAGTTTGTAGGCCATAACAAATAGTTTATTGATTCCAATCAAGGAAAAGAAGTCGGTATTTAAAAAAATGTTTTAATGCTTTAGCTATATTTAGGTTAGGGGTAAAAGGTACATATGAAACATCAATACAGTTTGTGTTTAGGTTTGGGTCCCATCTCCAATATAATTTTATGTGTATGCAAGTGTATCAAAATCCAAAGTATGGAACACATCTGCTTTCAAGCATTTTGCATAAGGAAAAAAAGTTTGATCTGATTATAGATTGAAGTGGGGGATGTCATAAATTGCATCTCAAAGGCACCCCCCCCCACCTTTTTCAAAAAATAAAATGCACTATATGGAAACTGAAAAACATTCTTAAATATAACATTGCTGCATCAGTTGAATCAAATACTGTAGATCAGGGGTTCTGAAACTTTTTCAGCTGCGGAGCCCTTTATGAAGCAAAAGTTTCTCATCGGGCCCTAAGAAATGCTTATATATTATATTATATATTATATATAGTGTATATATGTATGTGTATATACATACATAGACACATACACACACATATATATTAGATGTGGGAAAACTGTTTGACGCATTGTGCTTTAAAATTTGACAGGCCAGCAGGGCCAGTGGCAGATCAATAGAGAGTGTTTGTGTGAACAAATTGGAAAATAATGAACAAATTCCTATGCACACTGGACATATGTTGCTTGTAATGCAACAAAAAGGAAAGGAAAGAAAAATAAAGAACATGTTTAATCAACATAAACTTAACAGTATTTCAATGGAAGACTCCAGAGGCCATCCACTCCAACCCCCTTCTGCCATGCTGGAAAAACACAATCAAAGCACCCCTAACAGATGGCCATCTAGTTATTGTAGTAGTAGTAGTAGTAGTAGTAGTAATAATAATAATAATAATAATAATAATAATAATAATATAATGCCAACAGCAGAAACCCTAGGTGCTATCCAGTCCAACCCCCTTCTGCCATGCAGAAAAAGCACAACTAAAGCACCCCCTGAGTGGTGAGAGGGAGATAAGGTTTTGGAAGGAAGGAAAAGTGAGGGGGAAAGTATCTGGATGCTGAGGGAGGTGAGGAAAAAAGGCTCTTGGAGGCAAAGGGGTCTAGAGAAAAAGGCTTTTGGCAGCAAGGGAGGTAGGCGAGTGGGAAGAGTAGGAAAGAGGAGGAAAAGCTTGGAGGGGCAGGGGGAAGGAACTGCGGAACCCCTCAGTATGCTTTGTTGAACCCCAAGAGCTCCATGGAGCACACTTTGAGAACTGCTGCTGTAGATTTAAGATTCTGTTCAACTCCATCTTTAAAAGTTTTAATAGTTTGGATGTGTATAGCACTTTGATTCCTGTATGAAATTAAAAATGCAATTTTGCTTCTAGGCAAGCAGATATTAAAAATATATGATGGGAATGATGCAGTAAAACGCAACCAGTATCGGCTTATTACAGTTCCAAGGATTGCAAAAAATGAAGAAGTTGTGGTAGGAAAGACGGTTATTTGTTGTCTTCTGTGTATCTAAAAATGAAGTACTGGTAAATGTTAACTGTTAATGTATATGAGGCAACTTGTTTAATTGTAGTTCCATTAATGTTATATTCCAGATCGTTAAGTACTTATGAAATCAAGTAATAAATTAGGAATTTGAAATCCAGTTAATATCTTGTATCATAGCTCTATTATTATAAATGTAGAAATGACAAGTTGAAAAGCTTCTCTTTACAAATACTTTGTCCTTTTGCTTTTGATAGTCAGAAAATTGAACCTTGTGGGCAATTGTATTATATTACCTGTGGTTTCTTGTTACCTCTTTAAAATCTATTTCCTTTTGAATGTTAGTATTCTGGTTATTTAAAGCTTTGATTTGTCTAAGTTTGGTGGCCAGTAATGGAAGACCTCAGACTAAATTTTGCTTACAGGGCAATGCCATATTGGCCCATGGTTGAAGTGAAAAGACAAGGGAGATTAGCTGAAATGGTGCATAGTGAGTCCATGCAGTAAAGCAGGGAACTTAGAGTCTTCTGTTTCACTCTTGTCAAAAGTCCTCTTGAGAAAGGCAATTGCCTGCAAGAACTGTATTTGATCATAGTGTCTATCATGGACATAAAAACAAAATTAGTTTCAATTCAGTCATCTCCATGTGGTCTTTTAAAAAACAAAATATAACTGTGTGTCCCTGTGCTGTTTTAGGAGGCTGCCCTGAGGGCTTACTACATCAATGATGATCCACAAGATTATGAACTCCAGACATTCACTCAGCAGGGCTTGTTTTGTGATGACATAATTAATAGGAATGATACTACAGAAGAGACTCAATCTGGATCTGTATTCCGAGAAGCTGTTCCTGAAGCTTGGATCATCAGAGCTAAACCCAGGGACAATGAAGTCATAAAGATTTTTCCTGGTTGGCTGAAGTGAGTGATATTTCCCTCTCTAAATTCAAAATCAATGAAAGCTTGTCATGCCAGGAATGACATTTACAGCCTGAGATGTACATTGGGATTAAGGAAAGGAGAGATCATTCTCAGTATATGTACCCTGCTTTCCCTTATAAATAAACTAAAGCAGCTTAACGTATTATTGAAACACATAAAAGCAATTATTATGCTGCATCTGTGGGCAATGAGAAGTGTAGTTAACGGTATCTTTTACTTTTACCAGAAGTTTAGTCTGAGCTCCACATCTCAACAAGGCCAGGCAGTAACTAGTTCCTTTGATTCCTACTGCAATGCAGCAACATCTGGCAGGACATATTATCCTTTACTAGCTAGAAAGTTGAAAGTATTGTCATTTTCACAAGAGTAATGTATTCCTGTTCTATTTTCATAAACCAGGCAGCAATTCCAAATTTTCAGCACTGTGAAGGTAGAGTTTATTAAATAAGGTCTAATATTAATATGCAATATATTATAATACAACTTGGAAGCACTTGGATGGTTGCAAATCCATCAACTTAAACTCTAATCTGAACCAATGTGAAGGAAGAGAATAGGTGAACCTGCACTTTTAAGGCAAAAAGGTTGGGCAAGGACACCATGCTCTTCCTGTTTATTGTTTACCTCTGTATATTGTTTTCCTGATATTATTTATTCCTTGTTTAGAGTCTGATTCTGAAAATGAGTTTGGCAGGAAAAAAGCATTTGTGGGGAAAGTGAATTGTGGGGGTGGAGGGGAGTCCTTTGCCTATATTGCTTAGTGCCTGCATAAAATGGTTTTCCTCTTTAGGGTTGGGATGGCTTGCGTGTCAATACGGATAAATAAGGAAAGCACTACTCAGACAGTAATTAAAGAAGTTCTCCCCCTGCTTGGATACCAGGTAAACAATATCCGATGGATAATTCTATTTTCCCCATTTTGACTAATATTCAATAATACTAAGAGTATAAGCGTCATATTGGTTTAGATCAAAGACCTGTTTAATCTTGTATTCTCTTCATGTGGTATTTAAGTAGTTACAGGTGGAAAGCCCAGCAAATGAAAATGATTGAAACAGTGTTTTTGTTCACACATTCCCCAACATTTGATAATTCAGAAGCATTCTGTCCCTGATACAGGAGAAGTTGTGTCCTGTTTAGTAGCCATCAATGACTTATTTTTCCTGAATTTGTCTGCTCTCATTTTGAATCTATCCAGGATGGCACCAATTGTGGCAATAAATTTCACATTTTAATCATGTTGTGTTTGAAGAAATACTTCCCTTCATCTACCATCATTCCCCCACCATTCAGCCTCAATAGATGGGCTGGAGTTCTAGGATTATGAGGAAAAAGAGAACAGCTTCTCTCTGCTACTATGTATTGCATAATTTTCTGCATCACTATCATTAAAATCATTTGCTATCCTCTTTTCTAAGGTGAAAATCCCCAGATTTGTAAACCTTCCTGGTAGGAAATTTTCTTCTTTTTCATCTTTTTATCGTGTACAGTGCCCCAGTTTAAGTGCAATAACTAAAATTGTATTTAGTATTGTGAATGTGGTCACATCTGTACCAGGAATTTGTATGAGATCATAGAACTCTAGGGTTTGAAGAGACCCCCAGGACCACCCAGCCCAAGCCCCTGCTATGCAGGAAAAGCACAATCAAAGCACCCCTTACAGATGACCATCCAGCCTCCATTTAAAAGCCTCCAAAGAAGGAGCTTCTGCCACACTCTGAGGCAGCACATTATGCTGCCAAATACATAGCTCTTACTATCAGTAAGTTCTTCCTAAGGTGGAATCTTTTTTTCCTGCAATTTGGATCTGTTGCTCTATATACTAATCTTTAGAGCAGCATAAAACAAGTTTGCCCCTTCCTCGATGTGACATCCTTTGAAGTGTGTAGGCATGGCTATCATGTTGCTTCTGAGCCTTCTTTTCACCAAGCTAAACATACTCAGATCCCTCAGATGTTCCTCACAAGGCTTGCTTTCCCAATGTTTGATCATTTTAGTTGCCCTTCTCTGGACACCTTCCATGTCAATCTCCTTCTTGAATTGCTGTGCTCAGAACTGGACACAGTATTAATCCAAGTGAAGTCTGATCAAAGCAGAATAGAGTGGGACTATGACTTCCCTCGATCTCAACATTATACTCCTCTTCATGCAACTTAGAATTGCATTGGCTTTTTCAGCTGCTGTACCACACTGTTGACTCATGTTCAGCTTGTGGTTTACTAAGGGAAAAATATTAATATTGGCAGTTTTATTTGTGATCCTTTTTCTTATTATGTCCAACATGGAATTTGCTGCTTATGGGATGAGCTGACTACTGCAACCCCAAATTTGTTACTGCCAGTTTCTCCCAGCTCAGTGCATATATCAAAATAGGGATGGGTGAATGTTGGCCCTACATACATGACTTGCTTAATATCTAGCTCATTTACCATGTAGTATAATTAGTGGAATTCTGAGAAATCTTTTTAGAGCTTCTTACAATCCGTTTTTTCTTTCTTCCCATGGTAAATAACTCCAGGTCATCTACAAGTCTGGTCATCTCAAGACTTATCCCTAACTAGGTCATGTTTGAACAAGTTAAAAAGCCTTTGTCCTGATATTATTCAAACCAGTATATTGTTTAAACCATAATACAGCTAAGTGCAAAGGGCAAAGGTATTCTGTTGTGTATCTTATATCTTCCTTTCCTTCAGATTGTTCACAGTCATCCTGGCAACTTCTGGGGAGACAAAAGGTTGAATGATATTTCTCCAGGATAGCTACTGTCCTCTCCTGTTGGAGGAAAATAAGGAGATGCAGAGTAGAAATAGCCATAAAACTAAGCCACTTCCTTCTTTCCTTCAGAAGGGTAATGGAAATCTACAGGATTGAACATGGGAATCTACAGAATCTGCAAGTTGAACATAAGCCAACAGTATGATGCAGCAGTTATAAAAGCCATTTCAATTAATGTGCGTATGTTTTTGTCTCTTAACAGTTGGAAAACTTCCAGAATTTCAGCTTGGTCGAGGTACTTATGGGTTCCAAGCAAGGCAAGTCTTAAGTAGCCTTTCATTATTATATCCTTATAATTATATGTTAGCTTTTGTTTTCAATAGGCTGGATATTAAATTTGAGTAAAACGATCCTGAGGTTTAATTTTTAAGTTATCAATCTTGTGGTTTCATTTACTTCTCAGAAAATTAAATTTAATTGGATGAATTGGGAACCAGATTTACAATTCCAAACATGTTAATGAGTTACATGATTGATTTTAATGAAAAGGAAATAACTCAAGAATGTTCCTTTTCCCCACTTAGTTCAACGGATGGTGCTGGATGATCTTGAACTGATTCTTGGCAGATTCCAAGATATAAGAAAGGTAACCATAAAACAAAAGTTATTTTTATTCCTGGATTCTTTTTTCAATGTTAGTATCATAACAAACCCTGTCTCTATACTCTGACTCATTAAGAAAGCCCCACAACACAAAACCCAGTTCAGACAACACACAATCCTCTTGACATTCAGGTTAGTTTTGCCACTACCACTGGCAGGACACATCAGAAGGTGGGGACTATCAAGCTGCTTGTGAAGGATGAACAAATAACATCAAAGCAATGAAATGCTGTACGATGAGTTCCCTTCTTACCTGTCTCATCTTATGATTTGGGCAAAACCACTGTTGCTCATGACAACTTAATACTTGGATTCTCTGTTCGTATTTCTGTTCTTGTTTTGATAGGGAGAAGAAAGACACTTATGTGGCACTTTTTTTCATTTCTGCTCATAAAAGAAAAAAGAGTAAAACAATTTTAGGACTTAGTTTTAAAAAGACCTATTAGAAGTGCTGAACTTATTTGAGGGCTAAATTTCGGCACCTTAAAGGAATTCGTTACTCTATTGCACTGCTTCTTAAAATGTGGGTTCCCTTGTGGGTTCCCTTAGCTCAGGGGACCTCAAATGAGGTCCCCTTAGCTCAGTGTCGGGGTCTTCAAAAAATTGGCAACAGTAAAAGGTTTCCCAATGTCACCTAATAGCTGATTTAGACATTTACCTGAATCTGTTGTGCAGTGTTTACAGTGCATGCTGCAGAAGATGCTTCAGCTGTACGTCATAAAAAGGAAAGTCAGTCTATTCAGCAAGCCTTGCAAATGCTGGTTTGCTATCCGTAAATGTTTGATTTCTATGCCTGTTTTATATACTTATGTATCCAGGGTCACATAAACATTTCTCAGGCCAGGAAGGATCCTGAGTGGAAAAGTTTAAGAATCCCTGTTATATTGAATAGTCCAGAAGGAATTTGTTGCTCTATTGAATGGGAAGCCCCCTGCTTCCATGATTTCCCATTGCTGTTATTTCTCCTCCTGTTGCTTCTCCTCTTCAATTTTTAAGCCACTGTCTTTTAGTCATTGAGCAGAGTTTGAAAGTGTTTTTGTAGATCATGGGAAGGTAGAGGAGGAATTGTTAACATTCAGCTTCTCCTGAGAGCATGCTGCAGCTTCTTTTTCTCTTCACACTTTCAGAGCTGACTTTAGTAAATATTAGACATGGTCTACTTCACATGAAGGTTGTGTAGGAAGTACTAAGTAAATTACTATGTGGGACATAAGGTTTGTGAACCTTTAAAATATTATTTTACTCCAACATTCACAGCATCTCTCTGGAGTTCTTTTGTCGCATTATTAAAAGGTCCAGAAACAGGAAAGTGATGATCAGCACATATGTCTACTGGTCCGTGACTTGGGATTTTAAGATCAGAATCCTGCTAGTACTACTTAGTCCTGTTTATAGTTATAGTGATGAAAGGCAGATAAAATCTGAGACTTCTGAGTAGTCTTCTTCTCCAGTGCCTCATTGATCACCACTCAAAGTGGTGCTACATGACCAGTGCTAGACTATGACCCAATAGCTGCTGGTCCCTTGAATTTCCAGGAAGTAACAAAATGTTTGTAATCAATAGGCACAATTTTTTTTCTGTGTCAGGAGTGACTTGAGAAACAGCAAGTTGCTTCTGGTGTGAGAGAATTGGCCGTCTGCAAGGACGTTGCCCATGGGATGCCCGGATTTTTTGCCACCCTGTGGTAGGCTTCTCTCATGTCCCTGCATGAACTGGAACTAGTTTTTAATGGTTGATTATTGTCTTTTATAGGATGTATATTTATGTTTTACAGTGTTTTATTTTTGTGTGTCATTTTGGCAATTGAATGTTTTGGAAACCACTCTTGAGTCCTCTTGCAGAGATAGGGCACTATAGAAATAAAGTTTATTTTTATTATATTGCATGAGAAGTTGGAGCTGACAGACAGGAGCTCACTCCGCTTCTCGGATTTGAACCGCTGACCTTTCGGTCATAATTCCTGCTGGCACAAGGGTTTAACCCATTGTGCCACCGGTGGCTCCTACAAGTATGGTATTATTTTCTTGTCCATTGGTAGAAAGCCATTGCTGGTTTCCACATCAGATAACTTAAGAAGTACTGACTTAAGGCATTTGCCTCATGGCCACTGTACCTATTGGCCTTGTTTCTTCCTGCTGCTGTTGCTTATGTCAGTGGAATACAACAAAAAGATTATGGCCTAATATTTCCCTTAGACCCTTATTCTTTCTCCTTAAAACATGGAATCGTTTTTTCTGCTAAGCTTGTCCCAGATATCTTTCTCCAGAATACTTTCCCCCACAACTATCCTGGCATAAGCTGGTTAACTGAAGGACCAAAGCTTTAGTAAGCTAAGAAGTGACATGAAATGAACTATAGCACATTACATTCTTGCAGTGGAACTTGGAATTCTTTAACAAATTATTCTAGGTTATGTAAGAGACCACCCATAATTGTGGCTGTCCTCTATTTTCACCAGTATATTCCACAAATGGCATTAAATGGGAACAAACATGATATTTCAAGAAAAGGGAAAAATCTCTGGATAAGGACAATGCAGTTAGGATGAATGATCTGCTAACTGTTTTAGTGACACTAATTTGTGCTTGTAAGAGTCTTAACCTTCTCTCTGTGTGTATGCTATTTCTTTGCAATGTGATGGGCTTTCATCATTCTTTCCTCTTCCACAGACTTCGCTACGTCAGATGAATCAAACAAGGTTTTACATTGTAGAAAAAAATGCGTCAGTTGCACGAGTCCATTTGTTTATTGGTGGTCTGCCATCTCATCTCTCTAATGAAGAATATATGAACATCCTCAAAGATGAACTGGCCATCAAAAGTAAGTCAAATGCTGTCATTGCTTCTGTTTAAATTTCTGTGGCAGAGGCCGGCTAGTTATATATAAATGAAAATTTTCAAATAATATGAAATCACTTTGATCCATGTTTTGAAAAATTGCATTTTATAAAAAATGAATGCACATCCTCAGCACGTTTTTTTAAAATTCCTTTAAAATTTGTTCAGATGGATTTGGTAGTTTTTAGAAATACATCCACATATAGGTGTTCTCAGAGTCTCTGCTTGCCTTCAGCAATTTAAGTTATGATTAATGGGTGACTTAAACAAGATTTGTTTTTATCACTGTGTAGTTAGTGTATTCTATCAGTAATATTTGGACCTAGTTTTGTTCTGCTGTGGACAGTTAATCTCCTTTATTGTCCTGAAGCATTTAGCTTAAGGTCCACGAGAAATTTGTGTTTATCTTTCACACATCTTCAAATAAACCACAAAATATGGGCGGAATGGGATGGTATTAGCAAATTAAGCTTTATTTAGGCAATGTGGAGTTTGTTTTCATTTAGAAAACATAAACATTGTAGTACAGCACTTTGAAAATAATTCTTGCTTTTTTATTTCACCTTTTACAGCAAATGTAGTTTCAGTGAGTCATGTATATTCTTCTCAAGGTAAGAAGATAATACTTTAACTGGGATTTGGTGGGAATGTGATGAGTGTTTGAATCTGTAGGGCTGTTCAGATATGATGTACAATGAAATTGGGAGTGTTCTTTGGGAGTGCATCCTCCTAATTCCTTTTGCAGGAGGTGACACGTTTATTTGAGACTCTCCTACTTCAGCCGTTAGATTTTTAGTATGTCAGGATATCATTTTAGTGAGGTCTTCCTGGTCCACAGCTTATCTTTTGGTGTGTGATATAAATGTGCAAGCCTGATTTCACCATATGGATAAGTCTGTCATGGAAGATCTTAGTAGGTTCTGGGTTTTAGCAAATATTGAAGGAAGGAAAACCTGCTCTGAAATGCATCCTTCTACTGAAAATCAGAGACAAAGCTTTTGCATCATATTCCACATGCAGATGTGTGTATTTCACATTAACCAGTTGATAATATTATTGCATCTGTTTGTTGTAGGTGCTGTTGTTCTAGAAATTTCATGTTTTGCCGAAGCTGAAAGGCTGTACATGCTTGCTAAGGACACCACTGTTAATGATAAGCTGTTATCTTCAGTGGTCATCCCAGAAGTTCTGGTAAGACTCATTGGCTACAAACTGTTAGTTAATAACTGAACATATGCTCTAGTTCTAAGCACAGCATACTTTTGGATATAGTACTACCCTAGTATCCATGAGGGATATGTACTGTGGAAACAGGAAACCAAGGATACTCCTGAACCCTATTGGAAAGACCTGGAAAGTTCCCATAGAGCAGGTATGGGCAAACTTGGGCCCTCCAGGTGTTTCGACTTCAACTCCCACAATTCCTAACTGCCTACTGGCTGTTAGGAATTGTGGAAGTCCAAAACACCTGGAGGGCTGAAGTTTGCTCATGCCTGCTATAGAGGATATATTTTGTCTAGTTGGTGGGTGAAATTGCTGGTACCGGTCCTGGAATGCCATACTGTAATTTCCATGATAAAAATGGAATGTTAGATGTTTGGAAAATATGCTAGATTCCACCTGTGTAGTTATTTTAAGGATTTAATTTTTAATGAACACCACTGATGTTTAATTCTGTTTTAATCTTCGTATATTTTATGATTTTATATTGAATTGAAATGTTTTTATTGTAAGCAGCTCTGAGTTTCTTTTGTGAAGAGCAAAAGCAGGGTATAAATAAAATAAACAACATAATATTTATTTATTTATTTAGAACTTTTATATACCGGTCTTCTCGACCTCCGGAGAGGGACTCAGGCCGGTTTACAACAAAGATTCATAAACAATAGTTAAAACATCACACCCCATAATACACTAATACATAAAATACATTAAAAAGCAATCATATAATTACATAAGGCCAAGTCGTCAAAATGAAATCACAATTCATCACCATCCGTCCGTGTGGTCAAGAGTTATTGACTCACTCATCAAATGCTAAATTCCAGAGCCAAGTTTTCACCAGCTTTCTAAAAGTCAGGAGAGAAGGGGCAGTTCTAATCTCCAGTGGGAGAGAGTTCCAGAGCCGAGGGGCCACCACCGAGAAGGCCCTGTCCCTCGTCCCCACCAGACGCGATTGCGAGGGTGGTGGGACCGAGAGCAGGGCCCCTCCAGAAGATCTTAACAACCTTGATGGTTCATAGGGGAGAATCCGTTCGGACAGGTAAACTGGGCCGGAGTCGTTTAGGGATTTATAGGTCAACACCAGCACTTTGAATTGTGCTCGGAAGCTAATTGGCAGCCAGTGGAGCTGGCGCAACAGAGGAGTAGTATGCTCCCTGTACCCCACTCCTGTTAGTAATCTGGCTGCCACTTGTTGGACTTATTGCAGCTTCCAGGCAGTCTTCAGAGGCAACCCCACGTAAAGAGTGTTGCAGTAGTCTATACGGGATGTAACCAGAGTGTGGACCACCGTGGCCAAGTCAAACTTCCCAAGGTACGGGCGCAGCTAGCGTACAAGTTTTAATTGTGCAAAAGCTCCCCTGACCACCGCCGAGACCTGGGGTTCCAGGCTCAGCTATGAGTCCAGGATCACTCCCAAACTGCGAACCTGTGCCTTCAGGGGGAGTGTATCCCTGTTGAGCACAGGCTGTAGCCCTATGCCCTGTTCGGCCTTTCGACTGACCAGGAGTACCTCTGTCTTGTCTGGATTTAGTTTCAATCTGTTGGCCCTCATCCAGTCCGTTACAACGGCCAAGCACCGGTTCAGGACTTGAACAGCATTCTCTTAAAACAGAGTTACATATCTTACTTACCATTCTGTTTCCATCCTGACTCCATCATCTCAGTACTGTTTGCTAAAGGCTTAATATGCCTGTTACTATTTTTTTTGAGCTTCCTTTTCCTGCACTAGCCAGAGAATAGAAAATTCTAACTCCACACAGTGAGAAGATGGTCTGTGCTATGTTTTTCAAGATTGGGGAACTTAATTATTTCAATCCAGACAGTTTGGAGTTATACTGATTCTATTATAATGAGGAGAATGCATTAGTCTTTGAATATCTTGCGTGCCAGGAGTCTGAAACCCAAGCTGATGGAATAGGTCACCTTGGGTCTTTTCACACAACATAATTAGAGCATTACGAATCCACTTTAATGACTGTGGTTTAATCCTATGGAGTTCTGGGAGTTGTAATTTAGGGAAGTGTATTTAGAATTTTCTGCCAGAGATCTATCTCTAGTGCTTCACCAAGCATCACACTATCTAGGACCCAAGGCTATTAAGATAAAATCACATTCCTGTAATTAAGAAGTGTGCAAAGGCCTCTTCTAATCTAAACTACACATCATTCCATTTTAAAAAATCCACACCTCTTTCTGGCATATATGCATATGATGTTTTGGTTCAACATAAGTTATCTTTCAGAACCATGCTTAGCATTTCCTAATTGGGATTGTTGGGGCGGGGTGTGGGGATATCCTTGGCATTTAATTCCAATTTTGTGTGATTTGATAATTTGCTCCTCTTACTAGGAAGTTTTGATTAAATCTCCATATTTAATCTTGTTCAAATATCAGTGCCAGGGGAGAGTTTTACTTCACAAACCCAGTTTATAAAGTCTGCAGCATACAGAAATAATACTTCAGTCAGACAGTTTAGACCAGTGGTTCTTAACCTGTGAGTCCCCAGGTGTTTTGGCCTACAACTCCCAGAAATCCTAGCTAGTTTACTAGTTGTTAGGGTTTCTGGTAGTTGAAGGCTAAAACATCTGGGGACCCACAGGTTGAGAACCACTGGTTTAGACCATGCTTACCTGTGGCATTTTCTTCACAGAGAACTAGAAAGGTGGGGAGGAAAATTTATATTCCTAAGAGAGTAATTAGAATCACTGTTGAAAAATTGGGGGTGGTCACTAACAATTTCTGCCTTGTATTAATGATTTTTCACCTTTTCCCCTTTGTATTAAATGATTTCCTTCATTCGGAATTTAAAAATAATTCCAGTGTCAGTTTTAAAAGCATGCTTATGCTTTTTTCCTTAACCCAGGACTGTTCATTTTATGTTGGGCTATTAAAAGAAAGCACACATACAATGGGAAAGAATGTATTTAATGTTGTTGCGTGGTGTTTTGAGATGGTTTTAAACAACTGATTTAAAGTAGATGTAACTGTTTTTAGTGTTTGTGTATATTTATAGTTACTTTATGTTCCGGCATGGAATGCTTGCCGTGTGTATGGTGTGCTCCATCCTGAGTCCCCTTTGGGATGAGAAGGGCAGAATATAAATATTTTAAATAAATAAATAAAAATATTTTTAAAAATAWTTTTTATTGCATTTATATTCATTTCATTTCATCTCAAAWAAAWTCTCTACAATTCATATAATTACTTCTTCTCCTTTCCCCTGTTGTGCTACCCCTTGGGCTTTCCATCTCYGGAGTTYTTCTTTTCYTTATGCTCCCACCAGAACYTYATTTCTTCTGGTGGGGGTTGGTTCCCATYTTCTTTYCTTAATGTTTCCTCAATAAATWTTTTTYGTATATTTTCAAAATYATTTCCCTTYCTTAGGCCCTTTTTAACCTTTAGATTGCATGTTAATTTATCATTTRTTGCTAATTTCCAAATTTTCTTGTACCATTCTTCTATCTTAATTTCCACCTCTCCTTTCCAATATTTTGCTATTAGTAGCCTTGCAGCCGTTARCAACATTGTTATCAGATTCTTTTCATTTTCCTTCCATTCATCTGTATTAAATATTTTATATACCAATTAATTTTCATCRTCATTTTCTATTAAATTTAATTAAATGTGTACTCGTTATTATACAAAATTTAACTTACTATTCAAAGTAGAATASTATTCTTTTAACCAGAGTAATGAATGAAAGTAAGTTAAATTAAGCCCAGTCCTACTTTGCTGTGCTATTGCACTCTGACGACAGCGAGAATGAAAGCAATTAACAAATAAGGAAATGGGGCATATTTTACTCCCTTCAAAGGAATGTGTGGTTATAAACAAAGAACAGTCATATTTGGTATTGGCGTTCAAAATAATGAACTATTTTTGTTCTAGCTACAAGAAAAACAGATAACACATATAATCTTTATATGCAGTTTTTTTAAAAAGAAGCAAACAAATAATCTTCCAGTCTGTCTTCATTCACTAGGATTAGAAGCATAGGACCCTTGAAAATGTGAAGAACCATAAATAAAGAAATTGCTGTTTTTCCCTTGAAAGAACAACTCTGTATGAATTTCTGGATCTTCCAGCATGACTTCTGGAATTAAGCCATGTAATAGCCTTGGATGATCTGGAGATTCCTAGAGAGATGTTCCCTCTAGAAATCTGTAAGTCCTTCTGCATGACTGGAGGAAGTTGACCACAGATTCGCACTAGGAGGACCTAGGGATTCCCAAGAGGAGATTTTACATTAAATCCATGAATAATCAAATCTGCAAAGTTCAAAACTGAAAATGTAGAGGGATGACTGTTTGTTTGGTTGAGTTAAACATTCACTCTTCTTGCTGCTCTTTCTAATTTTCTCAAGCTCACAAAAGTTGCATTCTTCACCCAACTCTGATATGATGAATCAGAGGCAGCTGCTTAGGACAACTGGTTCCTTATTCTCTGTTCAGATGGCAAAAGAAATTGTTGAAGCCTTGATTTTGCCATGAACCCAGGGTGGCTCCATAATCCCCTTGTATTGTATTCAACATGCTGGCTTTGTGTCCTCTAAGTGTGGCTTGCAGTGAGCAATAATTACGAATGACATGCCGTCAAAATATTCTGTGTAGCTCTGTTGGTGTCTCCACCCAAGTAGTGGCTCCTTAGGCAGAAATTCAGGGTTGTTTAAAGAAGCAGATGTGTTGATTCTACTGTTAAGTGCACTAATCATGTTTGCTGTGTAAAGTCTGGCATTGTCTTTATTATGTTCTTTAAGACATTTTGTTATCATCTGATTAATACTATCTGTGCTAGTTAGTTGTAAAACGTAATTATTAGGATAAGACTAGAAATGCCCTTAAAACACTTTGAATCACTTTTGAAACATTTCGGAAGTTTATAATGAGCTGTATATGTTTTCATTGTCATTGGTTGTCATTAAATGTGTATCAGAGCAGTGCACTGAGTACATCCTACTAATTCCAAAGTTCAAAGGTAACTATACAAGATAAACCTGTGTTATATTGCAGAATATGTCTTTTTTTAAAAGAATAATTTTATCAATTTCAAAGAGATCGGTCATTTCTACATCATACGAGCAACAGCACCGTGCCAGAGAGAATAATAAATAAGGTTCAAATCTGTAATCAGTGAAATTGGGATTTTCTTCTCCTTTCCCTGCCATTGTAATGAAAAAAGGTCCTGCTCCAAAGAGTTTCTTGACCTCTAGAACAGTTTTTTTTTTGTAGTAGACAGTTCCTTGAGTCAGCTGTGAAGACTTTGGTTGTAAAATATGGCATTCTTTCTTGAACATGGTTAGCTATTTTTGGATTTGGGCCTTGTTGAACTCATAAAATATTCTTTAATTGCTTTTCTTTGCTCCTAGCAAGCCAAGCTTCCACAGAACTGCTATCCATTGCTTGTATATGTGAATCCTAAGAGCGGGGGACTTAAAGGCCGGGATCTGCTGTACAGTTTTAGGAAATTGTTGAATCCTCATCAAGTCTTTGAATTGACGAATGGAGGTCCACTTCCTGGGTAAAATATATTACAAATTTCCTGTTTCTCAGTGTGCCCCCTCTGCCAAAGTGGGACTTGTTTTGATCAGTGCAGGACATGTAAGGAGGAACTGTTTGATAGCCGTGTGGGTTTCTAGGAGAAAGGGTATGATGTATATCTAATAAATAAAACCACTAATCTTTTCCTGCTCTTCAGTCTGCTGTAGCCATTTCCCTTCCCAGGTTCTTTATGTTAGTTAACTTCTTGCACAATTCTATTTTTTAAATATGCAGGTTTTGTTTTATTCTTACTTAAAATTACATCCTTCCAGTATGGATGGTAAGACAAGTTTACTTTCAGTGTTGTCCAACAACAAGCACAATCTTTGGGATTCTCAAAACTATTCCAAATATAACTGCCTAGTGGATTGTGAGGTTTTGCCCCCCATTGAAAAGGAAATTCAGATGCCATTTGATTTTGAAAAACTAAGTAGGGTCACCACTGGTTAGTAATTGGATGGGAGACCGCCAAAAAATACTAGGTGCAGTAAGCTGTATTTCAGAAGAAGGAACTGGGAAAACCACCTCTAAGTATTCCTTGCTTTAGAAAACTCTATATACATCATGAGGGTGTTATAAGTTGACAGACAACTCGAAGGCACATACACACATGCCATATCATACAGTTGATTTTGAAACTTGTCCAAATTGAGTTTGGAATTTAATATTTGTGAGCTGGAAAACAAAGGCCTTACTGAAGTCATCTACCAGGTTATTGGACATTGCCTCTTGGCTTTAAAAGATTTTAGTGCTTGAATTGAATTGAATTTGGCAAACCCACAGTCTGAGGATGAATAATGTTGATAACAAAAGGGTCTATGGAGTGGTGATTTTTAATCTTACTGTCAAACAATAAATCTTTCAGTTATTTTCAATAGCTTTTAATGTCAGTTAACAAAATTGTAGTTGTGAGTTTAATAAATGGCATTTCTATTTTTATGTTTGGAATTTGGCAGCAGTTGCTTTAAGTAACAGAAGCTCATTTGTCAAAGAGACTGCTGTATTAAGGGCGAAATAAGGGAGAAGATCGCCAAGTCTAGTTAACCAACTCATCGTTTATTGTAAAGTGGAGTGAACATTTTTTATGTTACTCTAAGAGTCGGTGGATTTATTTTTTTGCTATATGCTTTTCTTGTCAGTCCTGGTCAACTGCTGCTGCTTAAAATAAAACATTGTATGGCTTTAATTTTAACCATATACACCTTGCCCACATTACTATGGACACATTTTAAAAAAATAGTTTGAAGCAGCGAACCTATTTCAGACTGGCTGGAGTACTTATTTTTTCTCTTTCAGTTTTGTACCTTATTTACTGAATGGATTTATTATTGACCCAACCAGCAAGGAACTTGCCTTGGTTTCATGTTGAAATATTCAAATTGTGATCTTTTTTTTTTGATGCAGCATGATTTGGAAAGGTGTCAAACACTACTGGATTAGATGTAGTTCACAGACTTTTTGTAACTATTTGTATATGTTATATCAGTGTAGTTTTTTTTAGTCTGGATCTTTTTTTTTTAAGTGTATATTAGTTTTTTATCTTATTTGTGCTGGTCATGGACTGTAATAAAGTTTTGTATTGTGTTGTACTAGTTTTTAAGTGTACCCTAAGGCATTTTGGAATTATATTTCCAAAATTACATTATTTCTTAACACATGACAAACATGGTTTGGGATTAAGGGGAGTTTCAAAACCAATATGTAATAAAGCATCAGGCATCCAAAGAAGAAAGTCACATTTTGCTGAGACAAAGGAGTATCTAAGATAGATCTTTAGGACCAATCGCATTGTTAAATGAGTTAGTAGAATTTTTAATAGCTAATTCCTGTTTCAATTTACTAATTTCAGATTGAGACAAGACTCTTAACTGTTTCTTACACTTTTTTATAGTAAGAGAAATATTATTTTATGATCTGCTATCATGTGGCAACAAATTATTGATTTAAAAACTAATATTTTGTGGTCATGACTAATTGATTTAAGAGTCAAATTTGAAGTTAAGAAAAATTAAAGTTGGGATGCAGCTGTTATAGTCATTGTTCAAATGAAAGTACAAAGTGGGGAAAAGAAGAAAAAGCACATAATGGGAGTGTTTGTTGATTAATATTAAATTGAAAGGAACTGATTGATAAGATTTAAGCTGAGTAAAATTGCTCAGAGTTAAGAGCAGAATTTATTAACAATACTTTCTAGTTCAAATTCCTTTAAACCTTTTATTACAAGAACTGGCAGCTCTTTATTAATCTGTGATCTGTTAACTCAGAGTTTCAGTGAAGTGTTATACTCAATCTTTCTGAAGTTGGGATCCACAGAACAATTTTAGAAGAATCCGAGACACATGAGCATATTGAATAAGATTTTTTTACTTTGGCTTTTGAATGCCAGAGATCAGGGCCAAACCCTGGGTACTTTAGAAGTAGAGAGTGCTTTGTGCTTGGATATAATCAGTTCCCAAAGTTACCTTAAACATGCATAGAAGTTTTACAGTTCTATGGATCCTGATCTCGATCTCTTAAAAGACAGACCAATTTGTTTATTTATTTTCACTTGGCTGAGAAAAGTAATGAAGTCTAGATGTCTTTTTTGATGTTACTGTATTTGCATAATAATGTTGTGCTCACTTTTTTAATATTGTAGATTACATACGTTCTCCCAGATTCCATATTTCCGAATACTTGTGTGCGGTGGTGATGGCACTGTGGGTTGGGTTCTTGGTGCACTAGAAGAGATCAGGCACAAGCTTGTCTGTTCAGAACCATCTGTCGCCATTTTACCTTTAGGAACAGGTGAGATTGAAACTCTTTTCCCTTAAGAAACAGGTGAGGCTGAAACTCTTTCCCCTTAAGGAACAGGTGAGGCTGAAACTTTTTTTCCTTAAGAAACAGGTGAGACTGAAACTTGATTTCAGGAATGAAAATGGCAAAATTATTGGGCTGAGATCCTGCATTGGAGGCTACAATTCATAATTTTGTGATGACCTAACTATGTATCTGACATGATACACAGCCCTTCTAGTGAATTGCAGTGATACATATCAAGGGGGCCTATATGATGTCCTATTGGGCAGTGGGAGGGTGTGTTGTGTGACAAGGCCTTGTTTCACATGAATATTGCAGAGATTCTTCTTGCACAGTGGTCCCAAACATGTGGATATAATTCTTCTCCTCTCCTGAAAATACAAACATTGCGAATTGGCACAATTCAGATTTGCCTGTTTGTATGTCAATTTGCAATGATGTCTCCACCTAACAAGAAGCAGGCCTTAGTGTGTTGATGAATTAACAGATACTCTTCCCCTCCTTGAGCCCTTGTGTGCCAGGATTTTGAAAAAGAAAATGTGACATTGAAGGTTTTGTGGGATATTTTTTGAGCCCAGTGGGAATTCCATTGTACTGCAGGTACTCTACTGTAATAGGACAATCAAAAATTGTTGCTTTGTGTCTTGGCATTATGGTTTGCAAGAAAAATGACTTTGCTTAGGATTAAAAAGTACCCCAAATAGCAAAAAACAGTAGATCTGCTGGAATAAACAAACAAATCTGCACATGGCAAATCAGTGAAACATGAGGATGCTGTTTACAGCTCTTCAGGCACCGATACCTTTATTGGAGATATAGTTCTATGTGAATTCTATAACAAAATGTGAAAAGTTTGCTATACTGCCCAGTCTTGATAAATGGAGGTTAAACAGATGATATTCACTGTTGTAGAATGTATTTTAAAAAAAATAGTAGAATAGTATCACAATCAGTCACCATTATTAAATAGTGAATTATCACATATTGTTTTCTTAGTGATCTTATCTAACCCACCTTTACCTTGCCCTTGTGTCTAATGATTTTACACCCCACACCTCCTCCCACCACCCTCAGGGAACAGTATTTATTTTAATTTAGATATTAATTTAATTGAACAATCATAAAAAGAGAATGGTTCAGCTCTTTATATCTTTCTTTTCCTTTGACTTTTTCTATCAGTCTTTCCCATTTCTGAACCCAGGTCTTCTTAAATAGGCATGTTGTGTATTTGGCTCTTCTTTCATAAATGCAATCTTGAAGCATATACTCTGCTAAATAATCATACCATTTTTTAACCTCCCACTTTCTATGATCTTTCCACCCCAAAGCCACAGTTGCTTGGGCGGCTACTATCATGTATTTTATAATTTCCCTCCAGGCTTTGATATTTTCTTTTTTGTCTAATTTCTGTGTGAAAAATTCTTTTTTGTTCAAAGCCAGTTTATACCCTATTAATTCTTCCATTTCCTTCTTTACCTTATTATAAAAATCTTGTACTTTGTCACATTCCCACCACATGTGGGAATAGGAGCCAATTTTCTCACATCTGTACCAACAAAGTTTTGTGGTAGTTTTTGTTATGTGGGCTATTTTAATTGGGGTTCTATATCATTTAGTCAATATTTTCCTTTGTGTTTCTCTAATCTTTAATCTGTAGAATGTATTGAAATTATTGTCAGGGCAATTACAGTAAGTATTTGAAGGTACTTAAATTTGCAGATGATTGTTAAACCAAAGACATTTGCTTAACCCCTCCTTAAGCCATTAGAATAGGTGGCTAACACATGAAACAACAACTCTTCCTTCTTTGCCTGTTGTTGCTATTCATGATAATGTATCTTTTTAAAATTAGGTAATGACTTGGGTCGGGTACTGCGCTGGGGTGCTGGATATAGCGGTGAAGATCCATACTCCATTCTAATATCTGTGGATGAGGCTGTTGATGTACTTATGGATCGTTGGACAATCCTTTTAGATGCTCAAGAACCTATTGAAAGTTCAGAAAATGGTGTGTTGGAGCCTGAGCCTCCTAAGGTATTTCCTCAGGTTTTTTTCATTCTCACAAAACAGAAGGAAGGAAGAAAAGGAAGGAAGGAAGGAAGGAAGGAAGGAAGGAAGGAAGGAAGGAAGGAAGGAAGGGAAATAGAAACTAAAAATCTTAAACCAAGGGTGGGCCTTTGTGATTTCTCAGATGATGTTGAACAGTCATGTCTAGCAGTCCTAGCCAAGATTTGGTGAAGGATTATGGACGTTGCACTTCAGCAACATCTGGAGGACCACAAGTTCCTCCACCTTTGCCCTAGCAATTGGTAAATTCCAGCAACTTCTGTATTTCCTCTTTTCCCTTTCCTTCCTTCCCTCTCTCTTTTTCACACACAGTCCTCCATGATTGCTATCATCCTAACTACCCAATCAAGAGAAATACTTTTTTCTCAGAAAAGGACAATGTTTCTTTTCTCCCAATCTTTGAGATGTGCTTGTCCATCCGTCAGTAACATTTTTTTCCTTGTCAGGAGTGTTGTCTATGCTAACATTTCACAAGAAAGCATGCTCCAGATAAAAAAATACCATCGAAAAGGGTAGTTGGAAATATATAAGAGGCAAGGGTCTCAAGAGGCGCTGGAAATGGCTGCCAGTCTGTGCAGACTGATGAAATCCAACCAGTTAACTATTAGTTTTCTTTTTCAAAAGATCTAAGAAAAATTGCACACAACGTGCTGCCATTTTCCTTTGTAGATCAGCAGATCACAGTGATTTAAGTATAAATAGTGGCAGAATAAAAAAAATAGACAGTATTTCCAAATAAGAGGTCATTCTTCCAGCTTTTTAAGATATGGTAGAAATTTTCTACAGTAAGATGTGATTTTTTTGTAAGTTGTATTATATTTCATAAGCTGCTCTTAAACTTTCATTTGGAACAAGTACATTCTTGCCTTTGTATGGAAGGATATTGCCTAGCAATATTTGTGCTTTTGAATAATTTGTTTTAATTTATAAGAACATTTATAGAACTTCTTCATGTTATTCAGAGCAGAGTACATTGTTCAGATTGGTATCTGAGATATAAACCTAAGATTAAAGTACATTTAGTTATAAGTTGGCCATCCCCACTTTTTCTATCTGTACTGGTATATTTATAATTTTACTTGAACTTGATGTATACTGTATCTTGTGTTTATATTGTCTGTTTTGAATTGGCCAATTGGCTAATCGATAAAATTGTTTCATATCATTCTAGCCATTTAGATCTGAGAAACTGAGTTAGGTCAGGTAGTTTGTTTTAATTATTTCTTTCTTCAAAGAGCTCTGGTTGATCTATATCATAATTACCCCTGATTTATCCTTCAACAAATGCAGAGAGCTGTCTTATCACCTGGATAACTTTATGGCTTGCATTCATGTGTTGCTCCACTAAGTCTAAATTGACAAAATTGTATGAGCTGTTTCATTGTATCTGTTTATTGAAACGCTGGACAAAAGTGTAGAATTTTATTTCTGTTTTCAACTTTTTTCAGATTGTGCAGATGAACAATTACTGTGGTCTTGGAATTGATGCAGAACTTAGTCTAGGTTTTCATCATGCCAGGGAAGAAGAACCCGATAAATTCAATAGCAGGTATCTGGGTTTTGTATAATCAATCTCTCTCCCCACCCCCTTTTCCTCTCTTTCTTTCCACTTGTACTTCCTTGCTCTGACACTTTCTGTCTCACACTGTCTCTCTTGTGCCTTCTTTGTATCACTGTTATTCATAGAGGAACAATCACATGTATCCTTACCTCATTGTTGCTGTTGGGGATTAATAAGGCTTTTGTTAATCCTCTAATATGTTTTCGGTATATGTTTGCCTTCCTCCTGGGCATCAGATATGAATTTGGAGATTAAATATGAATTTGGATTTGCTCCATGGGGTAACAAAGGCCTTCATTGCAGCAATATGTATCAGGTGGGTGTGAGAGCCAGAATTTGTGTGGCATCCTGCCATGCCATCTGTGGAAAACACAACTGGTGGCAAAATGAGTGACATGGCTATGTTCTCTGTCAACATCGCCATAACTGATTGAAATGATTGATAAGGTATGCATGTTCTAGCCATTGCCAGTTCTGAAGAACTTCATGTTTTCAAACAACCATAGTTGAATCCCTGACTATAAAATCCATGTAGCAATTTAAACTGTGTTGATGGAATTTTAATATTGTTTTAATGTTCTCATTTGGGGCGAGGTTAGGGAAATGAATGAATGACAAAGCGATTAGGTGACCAAAATGATTCTTAAGTACTGTATTCCATAATTGTCATCTTTCCAGACGCCATCCACACCTTTGGTACAGATAGATAAAACATTTTTAGAAAAGCTAGAAAACCAAAGTGAGAAACATTCTTCCCTACTACAGTTAGGATGAGGTAATCTAGGTCTGCTTTACAAAAACAAAAAACAAAACAAATCCCTGCGATTTGAGTCAGAATTCCAGTGAGTCATAGGGTGTGAGAGGAAAGTACAAAGGTACAATCTCTTGATAGTTGACAGAAAGAGCTGTGGAACGGGGAGGGAAAGTGATATGTCGCTCAAATGTTATGAAAATTAGAGGTGAGCAAAGAGTGGTCCAAAGCTGCATCCACTCCAAGGCCTTTTGGTAGCCCTCTCTACATTCCTTCGCCCCCAGCTCCCACACCACTTTCTTTGATGGGATTCAGAAGCAGACCAAAAATAACAATTATAAAAAAAAATTAAATGACAGTTCTTGCAGGCACATTAGCTACAAACTTTCGCACCCCATGAAAAATTTAGGAATTGCTATCAGAATTTTGAACTAGAGGAAGAGGGGTTTATTTACAGCATTTGCAACTCTGGGTGTAAATCAGTTCTAGTACACTGTTGTATAAATCAGGCATGGGCAAAGTTCCACCCTCCAGGTGTTTTGGACTCCCACAATTCCTAACAGCCTACCAGATGTCCAAAACACCTGGAGGGCTGAAGTTTGCCAATGCTTGTATAAACTCTTTGTTTTCAATAATCTCTCCTTCAAAAGAATATTAAGCCAGATAAGACACATCTCAAAAACCTCTCACCTCTTGGGAAAGAAGGGAGTGCCACAACGTTACTGAGTGATGCACACTTGTTTACTCTGTTTCTTTTCATCACTGTTGAGGAATATTTAGGTGTTGCTTTCATTTGTTTATTTTTAAGCAACACTTACTGTAAGGTCAAGCTTTTCTTCTTTGAGTTACATCTCCAGCATAGAGCACTTCAGCCACTGTTTTGATACGGGTGTTTCAAGAAGTGTTTTGCCATGCTGTAAAGCAGTGGTTCCCAAACATTTTTTGACCAGGGACTACATGAACAGAGATCACTTTCCAACATAATAATAACAATAATAATAGCAAAACTTTATTTATATACCACCCTATCTCCCCTAGGGAACCCAGAGTGGTTTCCACATATGCGAAATAATCCAACAACAGACAATATAAAACAAAAACAATATAAAACAATATAAAACAATATTCAATATAAAACAAAAACAATATAAAACAAAAACTGTTAACACAACATATACATTAAAATCAATTAAAAACCAGTTCCACTCTCTTCTTCGTGCAAGGCAAGCTGCTGGGGCCAAGATTTCAATAAAGGGCCTGGACTGTTGAGTGGGCTGGGCCAAGGCTAGAGCAAGGAGAAAGGGAAACACAGGGCTGGCAGAATGCTACAGTGCAACATTACTACCAAAAGGGTTACACATTAGTTTTTGGTCAACTTTAGATTCGGTTTGGGGTGCTGATTTAGAAAATTGCATTAGATAGACCACATCAGCTCTAGTTTCTGATACAGAACATATGCCATGGTCAGTGACAGGGAAGGAGTGGCAGGTGGCACGAAAGGCACAGAAATAAAATAAAAAAAATAAAGAGGAAGGAGACTCATGGACCAGATTTTCATCCTCGCAACTCACCTCTCCTGTAGAGCAGGGGTCCTCAAACTAAGGCCCGGGAGCCGGATACGGCCCCTCAAGGTCATTTACCCGGCCCTCACTCAGGGTCAACCTAAGTCTGAAATGACAATCCTATCTCATCAGCCAAAAGCAGGCCCACACTTCCCACTGAAATACTGATAAGTTTATATTTGTTAAAATTGTTCTTCATTTTAATTATTGTATTGTTTTTAAGTGCTTTTTTTGCACTAAAAATAAGATATGTTCAGTGTGCATAGGAATTCATTCGTGGGGTTTTTTTTTTTCAAATTATAATCCAGCCCTCCAACAGTTCGAGGGACTGTGACCTGGCCTTCTGTTTAAAAAGTTTGAGGAGCCCTGCTGTAGAGCATCTATGTAATTTTTTTTCAAATGCTTTTAAAAATCTTGAGGGGAAAAGTATTCTAATCACAGGATACAACCTATGATGGTGCAAGAAATCTAAAAGTATTAAGTGAATGTGTTAAATAATAACTAGAATGTAAAATATCTCTGTCTCCAGGTTTCACAACAAAGGTGTCTATGTAAAGGTTGGGTTGCAGAAAATGAGTCACGCCAGAAATCTTCATAAAGAAATAAAACTTCAAGTGGACCAGCATCAAGTTGAGCTTCCAAATATCGAAGGCCTTATCTTCATTAATATTCCCAGGTAGGATATTCCAAATATCTTCAATAATATTCCCATGCATCTACCTCTTTTATTAGAAGGTCTGTCTCTGAGAATAAAGTTCTTGTAGGTTGTAATACTCAGATTCTTTTGTGTGAATAGAAGCTTCTTAGGGCTTTTTTCCCCTATGGGAAGTTTTTTATAATTACGTTTCGATATCAAACGAATAATGTTTTATTGTTAGATGCATGTCCAAGGGAAACAGTAATATGTGACTTGACGTATTTCTTCCAGAGATAGAGCTGAAAGAAGACTCTGAATTCTGTTTAATCTGAATCATGCTAACTTGAAAGTGATTTAACTAATCCTAGTGGCCATAGTTTGTCTGGCTTAAGTCATAACACTTTATGACAGTCATTCCAAAATAGAAATGAAAGCTTCGAAATTTTACCTAGAATACAACTGCTTTGTAAATGTCATGCAGTTTGAGCGCACTTTAATGGACGTGGCTCAGTGAGATGGAATCATGGAAATTACAAGGACTTTAGCCTTATCTGGCAAAGAATGCTGGGGCCACACCATAGTAAAACTTCCAGGATTCCATAGCATTGAGGCATGACAGTTCATCTGGGGTCAAACTGCATTTGTTCTGCTATGCAGATGCATCCCTAGCCATGCTGGAGAAGAGGGCACCAGAGAGTGTGACACTGTGTATTATTTCCATAATGTTAAGGTGATCTCAGAATTGACTGGTTATTTCCTCGTTGCCAGATGCAAAGTGATTACCTTATTCACTGAGATCCACCAGAATCCTTTGGAAATCTCAGCATCTCATGTAATTATTTGGCTTTTGATTATGGGAACATAGCCAGATGCTTTTCTGATCCCTCCTCCCGCCCAGTTCTCTACAGGTACAAAATGGTAGGTGTGCAGAGGGAACGAAATCACTCCAACGGGAGGAAAGCAAAGTCAGATTCCAGAGCAGGCAAATTTAGATTATAGAGATGTTAAGCTATGTTTGTGCATGGCAGTAACAGGAAGCCAGCCAAACACTGTTCTTGCTGCTCTGTTCATTCTCTCTCCTGTCTTTGTCCATTCAGCTTGGGGCATGGCTATATGAGGCTTCGTTCTGCTGAATCATACCATTGATCTCAGTACTGTTTGTTTCAAGCTGACAACAGCTCCTCATTGTGTCCAGCTGAGTTTTCCACCTAGTGTTACTGCCCAACGGATTTTCGACATGAGATGCCAGTGATGGATCCTCAAACTTCCTAAACGCAATAAATGGGCTTATACCCTTGAGATGCTACTCAAACCAAACATCATAGCATACAATGATTAATCACACAGTCAACAAACCCATTTCCCACAGTGGAGATGGAGTAGTAGCAATAGTAGTGGCACCCTCAAAGATTTATGTTGACAGCTGTGAACAAACTTTAGGGATATCACATTGCTGTGTAAACAGAGTTTTCAATAAAATAGTATCTGGTGAAAGCATATCTAGTCAGGTACAAAATTTCTTACTGCCATTTTTAGATACTCTTATTGTAAAAGAGTTTTATTCTGACTTGTTTGTTTCCTTATATTCATCGCTCAGCCTGTAAAAAGTTGTACATACATGTAGGACTTACCGTTAATCTCCATTTTTTTGTAATTAATGTTATTTGTTTGTGCTGTCTTCTGTTTGCAGACATAAAGTCAAAAACAGTATCTGCCTCATTACTGATCATTTCCCTGATTATTGAAGTATCTGAGCTGCAAATACTTGGCCCAAATACCTTTGATGGTCATTTAGATCAGGATGGGAATTGTGTAACCCTTCAGCTATTGTTGGAACTACAACTCTCACTAGCCAGCATAGCCAAGGATGCGGATTGCTGGAAGTTGCAGTCAAACCACATCTCAATGGCTGAATTATTCCCATCCTAACCTAAACAAATTATGACTCTTAGGGGATGGGAAGTGGGGATGGGATATATAATCAGCCTTGCACATGTTCTGTTACACCTCCATGTTGACTACTTGGACCACAACTGCAACTTACTTTCATCTATGCTGAGAGCTGCCATGAATGACACGTTGGGAGAAATGCAAGAGTCATAATAAACTACCTAAATCTAAACACTAAAATGTAGCCTAAAACAAGGGTACCAAAAACAAAATACACCTGTGCGTGCGAAGTCTTTGCAAAGTCAAATTGATCATGGGCCTGATGCATTCTTCACTCTCCAGTCAAATAGTATCAGCCTTTTTACTTATTTTAAGGGATATTTAAACTGTATTAAATAGTAATCCCATTTTATACATGAGAAAGCAGCTCTTGAGGTTTTGTGTTTTTTACCTAAGACTCAAGAGTCAGATTCACCATTCATCCATGAAGCTTACTAGGTGAACTTGGGCTTGTTCTGCTCTCCATTCACCTAATTCATTTCACAGGGCTTTTGTGAGCAAGAAGAAGTAGGTGCCCACTGACAATGTCATTATCATAAAGGTGGGATAGAAATTTATTCAATTTAAGTTATTCGGCACTAAGTAGACAAGGTGGGGAAAAATATTAGATGTAAGAGAACATTAGATGTAAGAGTAGGACGTGGATGTAGCATCTGGTGAACAAAGAAGTTTAGACAATGCGTGTCCTGTGATAAAGTCAACTCTCTGGGCTTCTAAAGAATCAAGAGAGCCAGGTTACCCAGCTCTATCTTCATTTTCCTAGATGCAGCTCCTTTCCTACCTTCTCAGCCATAAGTTGTAAGAGTGGGAGGCTCATAGGGCACTGAAATCAGAGAGGAAGCACAAAGGACTCCCCCTTTGTCTTCTGTCATGTTTGGGTTATGGGGCCACAAGTCTCCTCTTGTACATATTTAGACTCTAATCATAAAAGGGGCGCTGTCTTCCAGCCATCATTGTAGACACTCTTATAAACCATTTATTATAGAATTATCATGTGCCGCACTGAAAAAAGTAAAGTTGCTTCATTTTTTTAAAAGTTGCCTATGGTTATTTTGTTTTGTTTTGTTCTGCACAGTTGGGGATCTGGTGCTGACCTTTGGGGATCGGATAATGATAACCGGTTTGAGAAACCAAGAATTGATGATGGTTTGCTGGAGGTTGTTGGTGTCACAGGAGTAGTTCACATGGTAAGTCCATTGTTTAACCCACTGATTATTAAATACCTCCCAGATACAATGTGTTCAAACATACAGTATAAATGGTAATACAGTAGTATGCTATATATATATATACAACTGGCCCTCTGTATTAATTGATTCTGCAACTACTGATTGAAAATATTTAAAAAGATAAATTCCAAAAAGCAAAACTTGATTTTCTCATTATATATAAGGGACACTATTGTACAACACCATTATATACAATGTTACTTAAATATCAATAAATGCAATTTTTCTCTGTGGAAATTGGGGAGGGAGTCCTAGTGGATACCAAGCGTACATGACTCCATTTAAACTGCGAAGTTGGGTTATTTGCAAACTTAAATTAAATTGTTACTTCCAGAATACAATAGAATACAGTATGTCACTGTACAGAGTATTATTTTTTCATAAATAGGTTTTTAATGTGATATGATCCAACAGATTTTTTTTAGAAATGTTAAAATCCACTACATTATAGTATTGTATGAGCTTTACCAATCCTTCAGTGTGCAAATGATCTCAAAAAGGACTGTCCTGACTGAATTGCTTTTGATAGGGACAAGTCCAGGGTGGGCTACGTTCAGGCATCCGGATTGCCCAGGGCTCCTATTTCCGCCTGACACTTCTGAAACCGATTCCAGTTCAAGTAGATGGAGAGCCCTGGATTCAGCCTCCTGGCCAGATAATTATTTCTGCAGCGGGACCAAAGGTATTTGGACATGTTTTGTTTATGTTATTATTGTAGATAGTTTGCTCTCCGGATTCATGGATTCTGTATTCATGGATTCCACCGCCTTGAAGATATTCCCTCACCCTTCAAAAATCCAAAAAGCATACCTTGATTTTCCCATCCTCATTTTATGTAATTGGATTTGAGAATCCATTGATTTTGGTATCTACAGGAGGTCCTGGAACTAAACCCTAACAGAAAGCAAGAGTCCACTGAATATATCTCTGTGTTATAAAACCCAAACCATTCCACTTATAACATTATGTAACCAAATTTGAAAAAAAATCTGTTCCTGGTTTGAAAATGTTATTTTGTATTTAATTGTACTGTAGTTACTTTGAAAATAGTTGTTATACTCCATAAACTTCATTATTGTCGCTGCCACAAACTATGTTGAATTATTTGAGACTCAACGAGAGAAAACTTTAGCAAATTGTGCTGCAGGATGTCCTTCCCACAAAAACAAAGTTTTTGCAGTTTAATAAACTTTTTCCATGTTTTCATTCATAACTCAGGAACAAAAATCATGTAACATAGTGTAATAGCGTTTCTCTTAAAATACCCACTTTCTGTACGTGATAAACAGTGAATATTCAGAAGAACATTTGTAAGATTCTTCTAGATTGGATGTGACAGATTGGATATAGTTTTCAAAGAACTTGCCGTGTTACTCTCTCACATCATAAAAAGGATTCCATATGGGCTGGGAACTGTCAAATTAACAATTTGTAGTCTTCTCTGAAAGCCTTTGTGGCTGAAACACAGGGTATAAATATTCTAAATATTTTTAGAGAGAACATATTTGTTGGTCATGTTGGGGAACTAGAAGTGGCAGCAACAAATACAGTAATCTGCAAATAATCAGATCTGTGAATTCTTAATTTGCAAATGTGGAGGGATAATGTGGCCGGGGTGGTCCATGCCTTGGTCACCTCTAGATTGGACTACTGTAATGTAGAGCACATGTGGGGCTGCCCTTGAAAACGGCTCAGAAATTCCAACTGGTCCAACGGGCGGCGGCCAGGTTGTTAACTGGTGCTCCTTACAGAGAGAGGTCAACCCTCCTGTTTAAGGAGCTCCATTGGCTGCCATTCATTTTCCGGTCCCAATTCAAGTTGCAAGGTGCAGGTGCTCACCTACAAAGCCCTAAATGGTTTGGGACCCGCCTACCTGCGTGACCGCATCTCCGTATATGAACCCACACGATCCCTCCGTTCATCTGGAGAGAGGCCCTGCTCACGATTCCACCTGCGTCGCAAGCGCGTTTGGTGGGGACGAGGGACAGGGCCTTCTCTGTGGTAGCCCCCTGACTCTGGAACTCTCTCCCCAAGGACATCAGACAAGCCCCAACGTTGGCAGTCTTTAGGAAGAGCTTGAAGACCTGGCTGTTCCAGTGTGCCTTTCCAGAATAGGAAACTCCCAGCATCATGTCCCAAACGCACTTTACCAAAGATTTAAGATTGCCTGCACATCGCACCTACCCTAAAATCCTTACATTTCACCTGTCATGTCCAGCACTTTTAATTTATTCATTACATTTGGCCTGCCCCTAGTTTTAATTGTGTCAGATGTTTTGATGTTTTACTGTTATTGCTTTAATGTTTATTGGTTTGCTTTATGAGTTTTATTGTTGTATTTGTTATGCTGTTGTTTTATTGAGAGCCTTGGCCTTTGTAAGCCACACCGAGTCCTTCAGGAGATGTTAACGGGGTACAAATAAAGTTAACAATAATAATAATAATAAATAGAAGAAGAAGAAGAAGAAGTGTATCTATAGAGTGGGGGAAAATACATTAAAGTTATAGCTGCTATTAACGTTGCATATTATCTTTAATTTTTTACATGTTTTCTTTCCCATATTTTTTATCACAGGTTCACATGTTAAAGAAATCAAAACAGAAACAGAAAAAAACTGGAAATGCAAAAGAGTCAAGAAATGAGAACCTGTCCGTCAGTGAAGTGGGGCGCTGATAGAGGAAGATATCCCCAGAAGAAATGCAGCACATCTACTGTAGACAAAGTGGGTCTGCTTGGTAACGCTCTATACAGTTCAGATTAAGAAGCGTTGTTTTTGAGCCTACTGCTATATTCCGTTCTATTGTACAGTGCCTATCCAGTGGCTGAAATAAGATATGTTGATTCATCGCAAATTGGTCAGAGACATTTGCTTTAATCGCTTTTCCGTAAAAAAAAATTAACCATTTTTTTGCAATGTGCAAAAAAGAGAAAAGAATAAAGCAGCGATCCATTGTACTGTGCTTTTTTAATGCAATTTCTCACCTATTCCTCTTTGGGGAGTCAATTCTTTTAGGGCAGTATATTTGTTATCCCTCTTTAGAAAATGCACATGCTAATGTTTCCTGTGTAGGGATTAAGTTAGCTCAGCCTTCTCAAGAGGAAAATAAAGGTAGAGAAGAGGTGATAATTAGTAACTTCATGTTTCTTACATTTTGTGCAATGTTGCTGTAAGTGGCATGGGAACAAATTGATTTAATTCATCTACCTGCACAATTTGCCAGTGTTCCTTCTAAGGTGGCACATAGAGAGATGCCACAACCTGCTTCTTTCCACAATGCTCACATTGCTTTCATTCCTGGGACTGGGTGTGTTGTCATCCTCACAGTGCTTTTAGGCAGGGTGTCACTGTCCACAGGGGTAGATTTGCATGCATCGAATCCCAGTATTTAGTTTATTATTATGGTTGTGATTATTATCAGTGCATGTGTGTGCCATGAACACTTCCTTTTCCCACACTACTAAATTAAAAAGCTGTGGTGGGAAGGTGGAAGATCCTACCATCATTTTATCTATTTTTACACTGTACAGACTTTTTTTTATAAACACTACAAGCTTCTGGACTTCTATTCATGCTTCTGATTTAATTTCCTACAGTATTTCCTTCTTGGAACATACTCTCACTAGACTGTTGCTGACAAACCAAATGCCAAAACTAGGATTTACAATTGTAGGACAATATGCTAAATTTACCTCTTTTAGCATTAATTGTGTTCAGTATTGATTCACTGAAAAGAAGGATGTTTTACTTTCGCTGTACTCAAGGATAGTTCAATACAGAATAATCTCATCTAGATTGTTTCCAAAATCACAACTTCTGATCTCTGGTTGTGTTCCACATCTGGTTGGAAATATTGTAATCGTGGTCCAGATTTTGTAAATGAGGGGGTAGGGGTGGGGTAGTGCATCAGACAGAGATCTTAGCTGATCACTCAGACTAGCTGTTAGTCTTATGGTCAGCCATTGTGAGATATTTGCCTGCATATTTTCATATTAGCTTGCATGTTGTTGTTCGTTAGTGTTGCGAATTCTAAAGGGATCATTCCTAGTTCTTTATATTAATAATCTTACAAAAACATGCAGTATATAGGCTGTACATAGATTATTCTGGCGCTCTTTTCAGATGAGGAGAGCCAACATTTTTGATTCTGTGTTTGATTAATTGCAGTTTGTTCTTGTGTCTGAATGTGGGCAAACTGCGGTTAAGCTTAACTGTGGTTTGCTGAAACAACATTTAACATTAATATACCTTAAAAAGTTTACGGTATATCAAATACACTGCTAGGCTGCAGTTAATCAGAAACAGAAGTGAAGGCTTCTGTTCTTCTCAGTGCCATAGTTGAGCAGAATACAGAGTTTACTACACCTGCTTTAATGACAAGCAATAGTTGATCATTACTTCCAGATAAATAAAATATAATTCTGTTACAACACAGAACTATGGAGAAGGATGAAGTAGGTTAGCTGGATTGTGTTTGGTAAAATTTCCCAAAATGGGAATTGTTTTTGCAGAATCCTATTCACCGTGACTGATTTGCTGAAATTGTACAAACATAGAAACATAGAGTTGGAAGAGACCTAGTGGCCCATCCAGTCCAACCTCCTGCCAAGAAGCATAATTCCTAATAGCCTGAATGTAAGAACAGCAGCAGTAGCCCCCAGAGCCCCCAGTGGCACAATGGGTTAAACTCTTTGGGTCGGCAGGACTGTTGACCAACAGGTCAGCGGTTTGAATTTGTGGAGAGTGAGTTGAGCTCCATCAGCTTCAGCTTCTCATGCGGAGCATGAGAGAAACCTCCCACAAAGATGGTAAAACATCAAACATTGGGGCATCCCCTGGGCAGTGTCCTTGCAAATGGTCAATTTTCTCACACCAGAAGTGACTTGCAGTTTCTCAAGTTGCTTCTGATATGAAAAAAAGCAGAAGCAGCCTGAGAACCTTCATGGTTATGCTATCCCAGAAGTACTTAACCGCTGGCTGCAATCTTCAGTCAGCCCTTTATATTTGCAGGTTTAGCTTATTCTGATTTGATTATGCTTGGATTTGATTAATTTGTTGTCTATAGAAATCTCTTGGTCATCCAGCACAATTATATTGTCAACTTCCCGCAGAGCTCAAGCATAGAGTCATCTTGGAGGACCTAGAGATTTCTAGAGAGAAGAGTTAGGAATCTCTAAATCCTTCAGTTCAATTTATGATCAGCTTCTGGAGGAAGTTGACCATATTGTTGCCTTGGAGGACTTAAGGAGTTCTTTCGGATTTAACAATAGCTTTTCTTAAATGTATAGTTTTCCCATGTTTGCAAAATTACCTAAGAGGATATTACAGAGGATATTTTGTGGCCCAAACCCCCACAGAAATGAAGGGCCTACTTCACTGTAATATTCTACTTCACTGTAATATCCTCTTAGGTAATTTTTTTCCTAAGACGATGGTGTGTGCATACATGTAATGGTGGATACATTTAAGTCAGAGATGCACGTCATTTTTGGCTTTGAAGGCAACATCTGTATTGCATTTGGACATGCACACATATATATGGAATAGCGGGATGACACTTACACTTGGCCTCCATCCCAGGAGTCTTGTGCCAGAATCCTAGGACCAAGATTGGTCCTTTGGCACAGGAATAGTAATTGCACCATCTTGTGTGTTGTGGAGGTGATGAGACAGATGAAGCCTCATTCTCCTCCGTCCTCCAACTGCACTGGAGTTGTATGGATATGACCCTATTATTGGCATAAAAGGAATAGTCATACTTTCTTTATGGGGGTTATTTTAAGGGGAAACGACAGCTTATTTGTTCATGAGGAGGAGGTGTTTGAAGAGTATACAAAGGGACTAAGTAGGTTATGAGTTATGCACCCCTGGTTTAAATGGAAGACATCAGAAGAACAATGCAGCTGGGAGGACATGGTGTTGTTGGGGTTTTTTTTTTCCATGTCAGGAGCGACTTGAGAAATTGCTAGTTTCTGTAAGCTGCTCCGAGTCCCTGTTGGGGGAGATGGTGGCAGGGTATAAATAAAGATTATGATTATTATGATTATTATGATTATTATTATTGTTATTATTATTATTATTATTATATAGTTACATTTGATGTGAGAGAATTGGCCATCTGCAAGGATGTTGCCCAGAGGATGCCTGGATGTTTAATGTTTTACCATTCTTGTGGGAAGCTTCTCTCATTTCCCCGCCTGGGGAGCTGGAGCTGACAGAGGGAGCTCAACCCTCTCTCCCCAGATTTGAACCCGCTGCCCTCTTGGTCAGTGGTCCTGCTGGCACAAGAGTTTAACCCATTGTGCCACTGGGGGCTCCTGGAGGACATGATTAAACAACTCCTTTCTCCCTCTGCAGTGTACTCAAGAGACTGCAGGTAAGCAGAGGAAGGAACTGTAATACACTCCTCATTGATATTGCAGGCACCATTCAGCCCGAGGCACTAGAACAGCCACATGTCAACCCAAAGGATTGTCTGGTTTGCAGCAGGTATGCCTTTTTTCAGCTGTCCCCTCATTGGCTGTATGATTGCTGCAAACATTTGCTGCACAGTCAGAGCACACATTAGATACTATCATTTTGCTGCTGCAGTCATTACTGCAGGGTTCTCCTGGGACAGTATCATCTGGAAAGGGCCTCTTGTGGACTCACTCAAGACATTTGCCCACTTCTTACCAGTATTTTTTGTGGAATGCTGCTATGTTTTCTGAAAAAGACTTTTCACCCATCTGCTGCTACACATGCAGAATTTGCAGTCTTGTTACATGCCTTTAGGCATCTGTCTTCCAAGTTGTTAGAGCACACTGCAGTGTAGGCATACACATATTTTATACAAGGCATTCATATAATCCCTCGTGGCCAAGTATGATTGTCTTTCAAGAGTAGAGTCTTAGTGGTGGGGTCTGTAAGTGACTGTGGAGACCTATTCTGGATCCACATGGGCTTTAACAAGGGTTTGCTTGATGCTCCTTCCTCTTGATACATTTCTCTCTTTCACCCTCTATTTGTGCCTCTTCAAAATCCATGACACTGTTGGTACCAACTGGCCTCCAGTTAGAAGTGCCAAGGCTTCCCATTCACAGACATTAGACATTTAGGACCTTTAACCTTAGGCTCCAAGTCAGAATAAGACCTAAGAGATTGCCTTGCATTTCACGAACAGCAGGTTGTTTCTATGACCAAACTCCGCCCACGACTTAATCCTTCTCCCACAAATTCTCTTTCCCCAAACAAACTCAAATTGGGACACTGGACTGTACATGTGTTTCAGGATTCCTTCCAAAATCAGACACATTTAAATCCTTCTAGTTTCTAGATTTAAGCTCTTTCTCTTAACCACTAATATTAAACAGGATTTAGAATGGTTTGGCTGTGTGGATCATGCCCATAATGTACTGTGTCAACATGAAAAAGGGGCATACTGACATAATAACAGAAAGAACACTTTCCTTAGTCCAGAAACTTTTTGCTGAAAATATTTTCCGTATCAAAGGAGTCATAGTTTTTTAGTGGATGCTAGTAATTAAAATTAAGAATAGTGAATGCCATTCACTAAAGGAAAAAAAGTGAAGCAGATGACTGAACCTTTATCTTGTTTCTGATGTTTGTAATATTTAGGCAGACTTAAGTATATTTTACTACAATTATTAAAGATTGTTGCGCTTCCTAAAATTGAGTTTACATGGATTGATTACTATAAGGTTGAAGCTCAAGCACATTTTTATAGCTTTTGATGATTTTAGCATTTCATAGGCTTACAACAATTTACAGGTTATTGGGAGGTATTACCAATACCTTATTTTCATGGTTTAATATAGTTTTGTATATTTTCATTATGCAGTTGTTGATGGTAGTTGGGCCTCAAGAGAAGCAATACTTTACACCATCATTCTTTTGTCTTTAAATTGTGTGTTTTACGAAGGCACCGTGTTGGTGTGCCTGTGCATTAAAAGTAATATTTAAATTTGCACTACAACAGTCTTTCCTTTGTACACTATGCCTCGAGCCTTTCTTTTAGGTGGAATTCAAAGATGTAGTTGTGTTATGCAAAGGGATCTTGTAGCACTTTTCAGAATAACCGGAGGTTTAGTTTTCAGTTACTCTCAAAGATGCAGCCAGATCCCTTTCTTTGAGAGGTAAAGATGGGAGTGGGTTTCTTGCCAGTTTTTCTTTTTTCCTTCGGAAATCAAAGAAGTTTGCAGCTGGAATGGTGTGATCTCTCTTGGGCAACTGTTTTTGTACAATAGACTATTATTATTATTTTAATATTGATTGCTTAGCAGACTGATCTTGTGCCAGCCATTGGAAAGT